CACAGCTGCCCAATACCAAGCAGTTTTCACATTTCTCATGCAAATCAGACGCGCCATCGGCCTCATCCAACGCAACCGGATCCTCGAAGAGCTTGCTTCGAGAAGCGATGTATGGGGTAGCAAAGCGGCGACTCGAGACGAATTACGTCGACATCGTGTCTGATAGGCCAGGAACCGTGGTGAAGAAAAGACGGCGGCCCGGTGTAGGGTGGTTGGGGAGGTAGCGCGATGTGCGTGGTAGTGTGTCTCGTCGCGTGAGGACTTTTTATTACACTATAAACCATAAACTTTGAAGCTTCCATTTCCCCGCTAAGGCCGGTCGCGGTGTAACAGGGATTGTTGTCTCTCACCTCTCTTCCTTAGCTGCCGGTGACAAGTCTGTGTGTTTGTGGAAAAAATAGTCTTGGTCGGATCGGGGGATCCAGCCACAATTACGATGGGCAAAGTTTCCTCCATGACGAGCCATTGGGGTCCCCGCGGGGTATCAATGAGGTGATGGGCAGAAAGGCAATTGTCTTCCCTTTCCATGCATTTCGGGGCCTAGAGTACAAAAGCACGGCCGCGTGGGATGTTGTCGTCTCTGTTCGTCATGACCCTGGTGTCCTGATGATGCACGGAGTACTAGCAGACTGGCATAAGCTTCTTGCCCAAAAATGAGCTTGGCTGACTCAATCGGCCGAATGTTACGTTGGGGAAAGGCAAAACAACTCAAAAAACGGTACTGCTGATCCGTACAGATAGGTAGGTACTTTAGGCCGATATGACGGGTTGATTGTTCAACTGTCGAGAAGAAGTGAGATAAGGTAAGGGTTGTGTTCACTTGCAGCTCTTCATGAGGCCATTTGTAATGACAGCAGAGAGTATTTAAAACGGAAGCAACGTGGACATCCAACCTACCTAATGTTGAGCTTCCTTCGGGTCCGCGAGGTCCGTACCTGTTGATAGTGACTTCCAAGGTGGTGGTGTATGATTCCGGTGGATAAAAAGTCGTTTAGGAAGGACGCCCCACAGTGGCTCCCAACCTAGGTACCTAAGCTCTGAACTTCTGAAGTGCCCGACTCCACCAATTTGTGTACATACCTACATACTCCGTAAGGAAGGCGGGGGCTCTCCAGGTTCCCCCTCAGTAACGGGCGCTTTCTGAGTGGCTCCCCAGGTAGCTAAGATTCTACTAGTGTAAGTCCCCGTCCCCGCTCCTACCCGAAAAATGCCCAGACTCTGGGGGATGCTGGGGGAGAAATGAGTGGGACATTGGCAGGGCGAATGGAGGCGCGCGGGCAAGGCGAGAGCGGGACGTCGACCTCTTCTTGCCTTTCCTAAGGTACGGAGTAGGTAGTGGGAACATTGGGCACCTAAGGCAAGCACGGCTGCACGACAAGGTAGCTCACGAGGGCACAAGGGAAAGAGGGCGAGGCAAAGGTCCTTCCGTATCTCCAAATGTCAATCATTGGCCTTCTGCGTCAAATCTCCGAGCCAATTCATTCTGGCACGTCTGGCTCGACCAATCCTGGCCCATCATCTGCCCATTTTGGCCGTTTACAGCTGCAGCTCCTTTCCGCGCCGCACTGCCTCCGGTTCCTTTCTTTCTCCCTCTCTCTCTCTTTTTTCTCAGCTCCCCCGTGAAAATTCTGACACTTCGTGACCATGTGATTGTCGACTTCGCCGCGCTACCAATTCTGTCGTTTTCGTGCAAAATGAAGCCAAGACTCGGTGAGATTTCCATCAAAGTCAACCTGACAAACCGTACAATTTGAGAACCTCCATTGGCCCTTCGTATCACACAGTACGATACGGATACCCCCAAGAGGTTCATCAGTGGCACAAAACGAGAGAAGGAACGCCATCAGCCTCAAGGTCATGATACTTTGATTGGGTAGCCGGGGATACCCTCTCCAACGCTAGAAGCCCGCCGGAGTGCCTCCTAGTGGGCGGCGTTCGCACTCTTGAATCCTTGGAGTTGACAACGTCCACTGGTTTACTCGCCTCCACCTTGACGGTTGTCTCATCGAGAGCACCACGGCGTAGAGGACCGCTGCGTTCTTGGCTAGGTATTCACCATTTCATTCGAGGCTATCAAATCTCAGCCAGTCCATCGTCAATTGCCTCCCAACATGATCCGGCTTTCCTCGCAACGGCTGGACCGTGTCTACGGCTCACTTCGTATCCGTCGCCCCTTCACTTGTACACTACAGGGTAAATCTCATCAACACCCCTGCAGCATGGGCGGGCAAGCCACGCAGGTCGGTATATTGCGCCGTGGTAACGCAGAAGGGGGACCTGTGTAAACACCCAGTCACACACAACCACCCAACATCACTTTCATATGCTCAATCTTGTTCACGAGATGCCGAGGGACCGCACTCTGGTGGCCCAGCGGGATTGTAACTCTGGTGTTAGCGGGCAAGGGGTCCCCCTACCTCTTCCTCGACACACAATGCGGGGCATCCGCTTAGGTAGGAAGATGGTGTCGACCTTGTAGCTCGGCATGCCACCCAATCTGGCAACGCTGCCCCGGTCTGCCCTTGTAATTCGACCTCCCCTCCATCGCAGATTCGGACGTCAAAGATTTGACCTGGCATATTCTTCTGTGTTGGTCTGTGGACAGCCTGCCACGCCTGCCATCTGACTGGCCGATCCGTTCTCTCTCGTTACGCACTCTAGCCATGTATCCGTTCGATAGGCACTTTCGGCCCATACACACCCACGCTTAACGGACCACATGCTGCGACCTTGCTTGCACTTACACACGATGCCTGCTCCACGCCCCAGGTACCGCAGGTCCGCAGCACATCCCAACCTACACTACCCTGCCTACCCTACCGAGTCGAGCTGGGTTAGTCGATGGGTCTGTAAGGAAGGGGAAGGGTTACATACCTGATGTGGACATGGAGATCTCGAGCTATCGCTGCCGTGTGATGCATAGGGTGCCTACTATTCCCTGGCATCCCCAGCTTTTACCCCAGAAAGCATCTCTCTCGATCTCTGTACTTAAGAACCCTCGGTCCCACTCGATTACTTGGTTCTCTGACATACCAGACAAAAACTGTTGAGCTGTCATCGACATCGAGGTTTGACAGACAGTTTCCTCCTATCCTTCACTCGAATACGTACACACGCACACTCCCACATACATCGGGAACTCACGGAAGTGAAGGATAACCCTACAGCTTTATCGCACGATATAACGCGCATAACGAAGCAGTTCGGACAACATGAGTAAACACGATATCTCTCACTCCGAGAATGCCGTCGGTGGTGGTGCTGCATACGGCGGTGGCAAGAGGAAGACATGTATGAGACATTGTGCAAGGTTCTGGTGGCTCTATTTGATCGGTAGCGTCGCAGGAATCCTTCTCGTCGTTCTTCTCATGTAAGTGTCAACATCCTCCCCAAGGCGGTCCAAATCCCAAGTGTTCTAACGCGAAACTCAGCATCTTTGTTGCCGTACCAAAGATTGCACAAAAGAAGCTCGATGATGCCGAGCTCACAGTTGATAGCATCATCGTCTCCCAGACAACACCCACTTCATACAACATGGCTATCAACTCGACGCTGAGATCAGACGGCTCAGTCAAGGCCACGATCGAGGGTTTCGACGGCAAAATGTTCCTGACGGACCTTCCAGGAGAAGTTGCCTTCGTGAACCTCACGTTCCCCGAGACCAAATCAGTTAAGCTACAGACCGTCAACATTAGCCAGCCCATCGAAATCAACGACATGCCCGCCTTCACCACCTTCAATACCTGGCTTCAAAACAATGAGTCTGTCAGAGTTACGGTCAAGGGTGACACTCATATCAAGGTCAATGGCATTGCCAGGCGTTACGGGGTTACTTTCAAGAACACAATGACCTTGAAGGGTAAGTTCCGCCGCCACTGCACTAATCTCCAGGTTGCGTCCATGATACACGTTGCTAACGAAACCTAGGTCTGAACGGCTTCAAGGGCCTTAATGTGACGGATAACACCATCTCTCTCACACCGGACGCTCAGGGTGACAACTTCAAGGGTCACGTCTCGATCCCCAACCCTTCTGTTCTCACATTGGAAATTGTACGTTTATGCAACTTCTCTCACAAAAACCAATACTAACATCAAGGTTCTTAGGGCAACGCCTCGTTTGTCAACCTTTTGGACGGCCAGGACATTGGTACCGTCTACCTCGACAATCTCCTACTCCACCCAGGCATCAACAACGTCACCATGCGTGCCAATATTTCTCAAGCCCCCGTCCTTGCCGCCATGCAGAAAAAGCCCGCCTGCGAGAACGGTATCATTCCCTTCAGCCTCCGCGGCAAGAACGTTACCAGCAATGGCCAGAGGCTGTCCTACTTTTCCGATGCTCTCTCCTCTGGCGAGGTTGTTACGGATATCAACATTGGCGAATCGTTGAAGAGGTCTCTGAACATCACGTTCACCTGCACTAGCTAGATTCTCAAGCGACTTTGTTAAGTCTGCTACGGACTGAACGAAAAGGGGGCACACTATTTGCGCGTTGAGAAACGAGTGTGGGTGGCAAGGTTGACAGTTCTGCACGAATATGAAAGTATTAATGAATTTTATTATGTTGCTTGGAAAGCTCTTGCGACTCTGGGGCAGCGTTGAGAGCGATGGATCGGACACCTTTGCGGTGGTGATAATCTAGCGACCCTAGATACCTATGACGGCGTAGAGCCGTAACATAGCTGGAATATGATACCTTGATACCTGACTCTACTGCCCGGGCTGATCAAAGCGCGACTTAAAGTAAGATCACATACGATGTCACGATAACCTTCAACTGACAGTGTCGCAAACTCGTACTCTGTTTTTAAGATTCGACGTCATTCCCTCTCGTCCCTACGACTTCCAGCCTCAATCCTGACGGAATAGAAAAAGTGACGCATCTACCACACACAACCTGTCGTCCCAAGTAAAGAGAAATCCCATCCATACCCCTTTTTCCTTCTCTCTCGGTCCGTGTCCCAGAACTCGACCATCTGACAACAAATGACGGTTTTCAGAGCACACCCTCTTTGAGCGCACGAGCGCACAACGTTTCCGCCAGGGCAGTCATCATCCCGAAGTAGGGGTATCAATCGCGAAGATTTTAGAGGGCTTTTGGGGCTATGTGATATTTCCTCTAGATCTCTTGCTACCTCTTGCGGTGTGATACCCCGCCTCAAGTTGCTGTCGGGCGCGGGGAAGCCGCACCAGAGATCCGATAGCCGTCGTCAATCCCACGTGCTGAAGATCCGCAACCAACGTTGACGCGCGCCTCGGCTCCCAAGGCCAGAGAAGGAGGAACGAGGCTACACAATCAACCCCCCAGCACCTGAGACGCCGTTACGAAACTCTGTCTCCATTCTAGACCCCACTGTGCGGCAATGCGGACCATGTAACCCCCCTCGAGTTATAATGATATTCTTTTTCCACGGCACTAGTGTACATTGTATGCGTATGTGTGTTTGTTTGCGGCTAGGCATGCCAGCACACTCTTATTCCCCTCATTGCTATTGATTGAATAAAGTGATGCCGAGGAGATCGACGGCGAGCGTCAGAGAGACACCGAGGTCTGCGGCTGCCAATCGAGAAGGAGATTTCGGGCGACTCGAGGATGGGTTGCAATTAGAGGATCAAGGATGGAATTAACACAGAAATAGTTCGCTTGGCGATGGCAGAGATGTGGAGGATTAGCCCCCAATCAATGACACGAGACGTCTGATAGCTGCATCGATAACCTGGAAACTCCCCGAGCAGGTCAACCTTGAGCGGGAAATGAAAAGAGCAGGACGCTTTGGACCCATCTGGGCGATGTCTGACAAGTTCCCGTAGAGTAGCCCCTGTCACAGAAGTGTGAGGAAGAAGGATCGATGCTGGTGACTGATGGGTACCCCAGCAGTCAGCTTGCCGAGTTGCTGAATCCCTCAAACGCCTGTCAAGCAAGATAACCGTAGTAAATGAACAGCTGAAGCCGAAGCTGAGGCAGCTGACAGACGTCAGTGACCAACCAGCCCGGATGCCTTGCCAAACGGAATCACCAACCAGGCCCAGCTTGCTGCTCTTCACAGCGCACCCGCCTTCCTCTTTCCCCCACGCGAGACGAGACCCCCTTGCTCAATCCCAGCCGCAGGCGAAGCAGCAGACTCGGCACCTGCTGCGGCAGCCGGCACGAACTCGACGGGCCCGCCTCCCTTCCTCGCCCCCGCGCCGCGCACTTTATCCTGGCTCTGTCGCAGCGCCGTCCTGCCCGCCCACTCCGGCAAGAGATCCTCCGACGTCGGGTCCCAGCCGAGCGCGGGCGGTAGCGTGGTGGCGTAGCCCGCGCGGCCGTCGAGGTCGACGAAGGACATGAGCTTGTCCGTCAGGCTCGGGTTGCGGAGGGCGGCGGACTGGGCGAGTTTGGCATTGAAGTGGACGCCCTTCTTCTTGAGGTCGAGAAACTGGGTGAATTTGGCGCTGAGGGCGGGGGGTGGGGAGCCCGGCGGCGAGGGAGGTATGTCGAAGTTGGGCACCGGGGGCAGGGTGAGATCGCGGAGGAGGGCGCGGGAGGCGGTGTATGGCGAGGCTGGGGGTTGGGACGGATCTTCTCCTGAGGGGAGATTTGGTAGTTGAGTGTCCATTGGGGGAAGGGAGGGGCCCAGTGGGACGGAGTGTTGTTGGACTGGGCCTATTGTTATGTTTTCTGTGGATGGTTGAGGCTCTATTGGTGGTTGAGGTGCGGCGGCGGCGGTAGGAGGAGGAGCAGCAGCAGGTGATGTTGATGGTGGCTTGTCATTATCTGAGAGGCTCATTAGTACGAGGTTGTGAGAAGGCCTGAACTAGTTGGCGAGATATTACTTGAGCCTGTGTTATTCTTGGGAGATGTGGGTTTCTCTGCAATCTCAGTCTAGACATTGTGTAAGTGACTGGCTTTCTGAGTGAGAAGAGGAGCATCTTTGTGAGCGCACCTTTACATCTTCGACCTCATCGTCTTCGTCACTGCTGGCGTACGCCACCAGACCACCCATTGTATCGACTCGGGGATCTTTATGTCAAAGAAGGTCTAAGACAGATGTCCTTTTAGGTTAGATTGACGTAGGTTGAGAAGTGAATGAGTTCGATGGAGGGACAAGATAATTGGGGACAGGTGAGAAGCTCGGTGTGCTTCAACGCCCCACGCGACAGGCGACAAAATCTGGGGAATGCACGAGCCTTAAGGTGGTGAGGTATCACCTAAGGCAGCCTTTCTTATTGCTAATATCACCTGTAATATTCAAATTCGTCGAGTCCCCTATTGTGAATTTTAAATGACTGAACCGGCATAGGTATTGAACATAGTGAGTCAAGAACTCTTTCACTAACCATTGCCAAAAGAGTTTTAAGTGAGAATGAGGTGCCTTCCCTCTGCAACCAGCCACACCTGCGATGTGGCTGGGGAATGGTCCGTGCATTATCGCGGATAAAGCTCGGTGGAGTTGGCCTCGTTTCCTGGCGCATCAACTTTAATCTGATAATCGTCACGTCGCAACTTTTCCGCCCCTCATGCCAGATCCGTCATTCGCTTGCCAACAGACCTAGTACATTGGAAGAGCGGCCCCGTACAGCGGTACTTGCCCATCAGGTTTCGAACTCTCAGAATAAACAGTGGCAAAGAAACAAATACACGAGTGAAGACCCTGTCGAAAAAGTAGCTCGAGACCTACAACATGGCTCGGACCAGGGACTCGCGCTCACCATCGCCTGCAGGAAGCCAATACGCGAGACGCCGCAAAGACGATGACAGGAGGGACCGCCGTGATGATGGAGGCAGAGACTACCGTCGTCGCTCGCGGTCCAGGAGCCCTGGCGATGTGAGAAGACACCGCAGAGAACGAGAATGGGACTACTCTGACAGGTACCAACAGCGACGATATCGAGATCGCGAGCGCGATCGCGACTCTCACCGCCGGAGAGATCGCTCCATAGACCGACGAGACGACGATTTGTATCGCGGAGGCCGACGAGACAACGACCGCCACAGAGACAATCGGAGGAGGTCTCGCGATCGATTCGCCGACAGAGACCGATCTCTCGACAGACGGCGGCATCGTGATAGCGACAGGGACCATCGTCCAAGGCGAGACGACTCCAGGGATCGAGCTCGCGCGAGGCGAGAGGGAACTGCTGACTCCCGTCCGCGTAGCAAGCGCGATGATAGCCGCCCACGCGGCGCAGCGCCTCCAGAGAAAACCAGTACCCCTGGTAATGAGGTGAGACCGATCACCATGCCCTTTCCATCATGGATCGCTAACTCAATATCACAGGCTGCTAAGCCCAAGCCTGCCCCAGCCCAGACTGAAGCTGACAAAAAGGCCGAACGACTCGCCAGGCTCGAGGCCTGGAAGAAGAGCAGAGAGAACAAGGCCAATAAAGAGAATGAGGTTAATCCAAGTCAGACTAGGAATCTCCTCGCAGAGATGGACAAAAAGTCCGTGGCGTCCCCGGCTCCCGCTTCGCCATCTGTCGCCTCGCCTGCTGTCGCATCTCCCGTAGTCGCGTCCCCGGCGGCATCCCCAGCGCCAACGCTCAATACTTCTGGAAATGCATCACCAGCTGTGCCTTTCGCGGGCAAGTTTGACCCCAAGGCCATTGCGAAGAAATCGGCAGCGTCTCACAAGAACACCGGCACGAATAGTGTGCTGGGCGCGCTGGAAGGCCGGCCCGAGAAGCCCACGGCACCTGTTGCACCAATCACGAAGGGTAAGCTACCACCCCCTTCCTATGCAGATGCGCAAGGGGCAGTCATGAGAGGGACACATACTAACAGCATAATAGCCTCAGCACTTCCCGCCAACCGAAACCTGAGCGCTTTTGGTTTCAGCAAAGCGACTGCCGACAGTGAGAAGCTCGCAAACAAGCGCAAGCTCGATCTCGATGAGGAGGAAGGGACGAAGAGGAAACTCACAAAGCTACCCGCACTTCCCCTCGAGGCTGATGACACCCCCTACGCTGATCAAGATGAAGACGATGAGTCGGACGGTGGCAACTTTGCCGAAACGGAAGAAGAAGCTGCTGCAATTGCCCGTGCTGCGCACGAACGACGCGAGAGAGAGCTGCAGGAGGCGCAAGAAGAGTCCAAGCAAGATGTCGACATGCAAGATGTTGCGCCAACGCAAACTGCTGAGCTAGTTGAAGAGCCTCCAGTCGCCGACAAGATGGAGGTCGTGGAAGCCGAAGAGGACGATGTTGATCCGTTGGACGCTTTCATGGCCGATCTGTCGGATACAAAAGCCGCGCCGGGTCCCAAGGCAAGTACATCCACGAAGAAGGTCCAGGAGCCTGAGGCGTACTTCAGTGACGATGAATACGCTTTCAAAGCAGACGATGGCCCCAACGCCAATGCAGCTCTCGCCATGGCTGCGAAACGCAAGAAGAAAGATATTCCCACGGTGGACTACAGCAAGATAGACTTACTACCTATTCGTAAGGATTTCTGGGTCGAACCAGCGGAGCTTGCCGCTCTCAGCGAAGAAGAGGTCACCGAACTGCGCGCGGAGCTTGACGGCATCAAAGTCTCGGGCAAAAACGTCCCTAAGCCGGTACAGAAGTGGGCCCAGTGCGGTCTCAATGAGCGGACATTGGACGTCATCGCCGGCCTTGGCTATGAAAAGCCGACGCCGATTCAGATGCAATCTCTGCCCATTCTCATGTCGGGGCGTGATGTTGTCGCCGTTGCCAGGACTGGATCAGGTAAAACAATGGCCTTCCTCCTTCCTATGTTCCGTCACATTATGGATCAGCCGCCCATCAGGGACACCGACGGTCCCATTGGTCTCATCATGACACCGACTCGCGAGCTGGCAGTCCAGATTCATCGCGATTGTAAACCCTTTCTGAAGGCAATGGGTTTGCGGGCTGTCTGTGCCTATGGTGGAGCTCCCATTAGAGATCAAATCGCCGAGCTCAAGCGCGGTGCCGAAATTGTCGTGTGCACTCCCGGCCGCATGATTGACCTGTTGGCTGCCAACCAGGGCCGTGTTACGAATGTGCGTCGCGTCACATACGCTGTCCTCGACGAGGCTGATCGCATGTTCGACATGGGTTTCGAGCCACAAGTCATGAAAATCTTCGCCAATATCCGCCCTGACCGGCAAACCATCATGTTCTCCGCAACCATGCCTCGCAGCATTGATTCCTTGGCCAAGAAGGTACTCAAGTCTCCAGTTGAGATTACCGTAGGAGGCCGCAGTATCGTGCCCGCAAACATTACGCAGATTGTTGAGGTTATTCCCGAGACTGAAAAGTTCTACCATCTACTAGGCCTGCTTGGTGAGCTTTACGAAAAGGATGAGGACGCCCGTACTCTAATCTTCGTCGAACGTCAGGAGAAGGCCGACGATCTTCTTAAGGAACTCATGACCAAGGGATATCCCTGCATGTCGATCCATGGTGGTAAAGACCAGGTCGATCGTGATTCTACAATTTCCGATTTCAAGAACGGTATCGTGCCAATCCTGGTCGCAACGTCCGTTGCAGCTCGAGGTCTGGACGTCAAGCAGCTCAAGTTGGTTGTGAACTATGACCCACCCTCTCACCACGAGGACATGGTGCACAGATCCGGACGAACGGGAAGAGCAGGTAACACTGGAACCGCAGTGACTTACATTTCTGAAGACCAGGAGAATTGCGCCCCTGGCATCGCAAAGGCTCTGGAGCAAAGCGGTGTTCCTGTCCCTAAGCGCCTGGAAGAGATGCGTAAAGCATGGATAGAAAAGGTCAAGGCAGGCAAAGCCAAGGATAACTCTGGCTTTGGTGGAAAGGGTCTGGACAGACTCGATGCCGAGCGTGAAGCTGCTCGTCTTCGTGAGCGCAAGACTCACAAGGCCGAGGGCGAAGAAGATGACGTGAAGGAGGAGAAGGCCGAGGACAAGGGCAAGTCTGCTGTCATCGACATTCAGTCCAAGGTATCAGCCGTTGTGTCCCGTGCCGCCAACAAGCCTGAAGAGGCCAAGGGTAAGGATACACCGGCTGCCGGCGGCGCCGGAGGCAAGCCGGGACAGCCTCTCGACATGGTCAGCGCAGCCATTAGGAACATCAACGAGCGACTCGGCAAGGCCGGGCAGCTTCGGTCAGGACAGCCCATCGACAACAAGGGCCCCGACGCCGGTGCGTACCACGCCACCCTCGAGATCAACGACTTCCCGCAGAAGGCCAGATGGGCGGTCACAAACAGAACCAACGTGGCCAAGATTTTGGAGGCAACTGGTGTGTCAATCACGACAAAGGGAACCTTCTATCCTGCTGGCAAGGAAGTCCCGGCCGGAGCGGACCCGAAGCTGTACATTCTCGTTGAGGGTGACACGGAGGTTGTGGTTGGCGCTGCTATGACCGAGCTTACCCGACTTCTCAGTGAGGGAACTGTTGCGGCGGCTACGGCCGACAGCCGTGCTCCCGCTTCTGGACGTTATAATGTCGTGTAAATTGCCCGGGTCCTTGTAGTATATCAGATAATGCCATGGTAGCAATAGGGCAGGGGCGCAGAGGAGTCAATGATAACGCTGATGCTGATGTTCGTTCTTGATGTGCACTCGAATTTTTTAGGATAATAATGAGAGCAGTCGCCGCGGAGATCAATAGCACCAGAGTGAAGCGCAGTTTGAGAAAGCGAAATGAAGAAATGTAGTAACTAATGACTTAGATCACCCTAGACGCCACCAATGTATGAACTCCAAACCAAGCTTCAATACCAAAACGAAGAGGTATTATCAACGAACATTGTCCACCCAAATCCATTATCTAATTCATCAAGAAAAGTCGCTAACCCCGCTTCTCTCTATTTCCCCCTTTACTACGTATCTTGGCTTTAATTGTACGTCCTAGCCTCCGCAGCGGCATCGGCATCACGCTGTCTCAGCTGCTGGGTGCTCGCGTCCTTGAGCAAATCGCTCTGAGTCTGCTTCTTCTGGGCGTTCAGTTGCGAGGAGAGCTTCCCGGTGGACTTATTTGCGGCTTTTGCTCGGGCCTGTTGAGGGGCGTAGGTGTTAGTAGGTTTATTCGCGCAGTATTGTGAGAAGAGGGAGGGAGAGGGCAGGTGAATCTCACCTCGGCTGCCTCCGCGGCTTTGCGCCGCGCTTCTGCGGCATCGGCAGACGATTGTTGTCCCGATGCGCCGCCACCGCTACCACCGCCCAGCGTCCGTGGCGGACCGCCGACTCTGGCAGGAATCGGCGCGGTCTTGGGCTGGGGCGGGGGAGCGGTGCCAAGCGGGCGACCCGGGGAGTCGAAGTTGTCCCCCTTCTCCTTGCCGCAGACAGAGCCCATTACGGTTTCTGTAGGAGAGTTCGGATAGTTTGCGATTGCGATATGGTATCTAGGGTTATAGGATCGCTGAGGTGGTGGTGGTGCGCGCGCGGAGTGGCGAGGTCGTTTCGGCGCGAGTCGTTCGGGGGAGAACGGGGTGAGGTCGGGGGACGGAGGTGTTCGGGGCCGGATGTACGTAAGGTGTTCGAGCAGGTTCCCGGGAAGGTGCGGTTCGGAGGTGATGCGGTCAGTTTTTGTCGCAATGCGCTTCTACGCTCGGGTCGGTGTTTTGGAAATCCGTAGCTATGATAGATGGCTTTGCGGGTTGCGAAGCTATTTTGAAGTAAAAAGGTCACGAGGAAGGAAGTAAGGCAGTGTCAAAGGTAGGCTGTTGGTTTTTAGCCGGAGAATCAGCGTGGCCGCGTCAGGTAACCTCGTCTATCGATATGAGGCCAAGACCGCCCAGGTTTGCGACGGGACGTTCACTGGTTCACAACGGCCTCCCGCCCATTCCATTGCCCTGCCACAGTGCTCTGTGCCACCCGGTACGAGGGGCACGCTAGCGGTGTTGGGGTTAAGGCGCATCAGCAGTCATGGACCCCTGCCGGGCCGTCCAGTGCACCGCAGTGACAGTCATTCAGGTCGTACACTGCCTACCTTCCCTCCCTTGCCGTTGTGCTCATTTTGAGACTACGGCGGGGGCGGGGCTCATTGGCTCAAAAGAGAGGCGGATGCTCCAAAAAAAGTTGACGGGCCAATGGCCGAAACTCCAATTCTTTTTTTCCCACAAGGTTTGATGAGCTTGAATCAGTAGGTGGGGGATGAGCAACATACAATGAAATAGTTTGCTTCTCCTCCATTATAATGTTCCTTCATCTGTGACCTGAGGAAGGGAAGATGGGTGAGTGCTTGGTAGAAAACAATGATACGAGATCTGAGCGAGTGAAAGTCCTGGGCCGTCCAATGTCCCACTCGAGCCGCTAGGTGGTTGGAGTTGAGGTCATTGCTGCCGTCGCATAACGTAGCGTTTCCCCTTCCTTTTCGTGCCTCCAGCGGATGCGATGCCGATGCTACGTGGGGCAAAACTACCTAGAGAATACTTTGCCTGCCGCCCTACGCGTATGAGATCTCGCCGTACCCATCACGTAGCCAACAAGAAAAAGTTTCGTAGCTTCCTGCCCCTCCCCCTCCTTGATCGGAAGCCGATTTTGCGCAACCTCTCCTCCTACCCACAGGCATCATCGCGCAAGGCAAATTTTTGTTTCCCTTGATCCTTCCTGTTTCCTCCCTCTTCTCTTCCTCTTCTTGCTCTATCCTCTAAACAACAATTCTTCCTTCCCCAAGAACTTGTCGTTGCGAGAGCACCTAAGCAAAGATGTCGGGTCAGAAGATTGCCATCGTTTCCGTCTACGATAAGACTGGTCTGCTGGACCTGGCGAAGGGCCTGAACCAGCAGAATGTCCGCATTCTCGCCTCCGGCGGTACGGCCAAGATGATCCGGGAGTCTGGCTTCCCCGTTGAGTAAGTTGCAAGTCCTTGCCGAAACTTTCACGCGTGCAACCCGAAGCTCATGGGCTTTTTTCTGATAGGGACGTCTCTGCCATTACCAAGGCCCCCGAGATGTTGGCTGGCCGTGTCAAGACTCTGCACCCCGCCGTCCACGCCGGAATACTCGCAAGAAACCTCGAGTCCGACGAGAAGGACTTGGCCGACCAGAACATCAACAAGGTCGACTATGTCATTTGCAACCTGTACCCCTTCAAGGATACTGTTGCCAAGGTCAATGTCACTGTCCCCGAGGCTGTCGAGGAGATCGATATTGGTGGCGTCACTCTTATCAGAGCTGCCGCCAAGAACCACAGCCGTGTTACCATCCTCAGTGACCCCAACGACTACGCCGAGTTCCTCAAGGAGCTCCAGGCTGGCGAGATCACCGAGGCAAGCCGTAACCGCTACGCTCTCAAGGCCTTCGAGCACACTGCCGACTACGATGCTGCCATTTCCGACTTCTTCCGCAAGCAATACGCCGCCGATGGCAAGCAGTTCTCCGCTTTGAGATACGGCGCCAACCCCCACCAGAAGCCTGCTGCTGCCTTCGTCAGTGGTGGAGAGCTCCCCTATAAGGTTCTCGGGGGCTCGCCCGGCTACATCAACCTTCTTGACGCCCTCAACAGCTGGCCCCTCGTCAAGGAGCTTAAGCAGGCTCTGGGTAAGCCTGCCGCTGCCAGCTTCAAGCACGTCTCCCCTGCCGGTGCTGCCATTGGCACTCCCCTTACCGACGACGAGAAGAAGGTTTACTTCGTCAACGATATCGAGGGCATCGACTCCTCTCCTCTTGCCCAGGCCTACGCCCGTGCTCGCGGTGCCGACCGCATGAGCAGCTTCGGTGACGTGATTGCCTTGAGTGACATTGTCGATCTCCCCACTGCCAGCATCATCTCCAAGGAGGTTTCTGACGGTGTCATTGCCCCTGGCTTCGAGGATGCTGCCCTTGCGCTCCTGAAGAAGAAGAAGGGCGGCAAGTACCTCGTCCTCCAGATCGACCCCGACTACGTCCCTGCCAAGACCGAGACCCGGACCGTCTACGGAGTCACTCTGCAGCAGGGCCGCAACGATATCGAGATTGCGCCCAAGTCGTTCAACAGAATCATCACTCCCAAGGAGTCTGGGCCTCTCTCCGAGTCCGCCCTCCGAGATTTGACCGTGGCCACCATTGCCCTGAAGTACACTCAGAGTAACTCTGTCTGCTACGCCTACAACGGACAGGTCATTGGTCTTGGCGCTGGTCAGCAGTCCAGAATCCACTGCACGCGCCTCGCTGGCGACAAGGCAGACAACTGGTGGCTTCGTTTCCACCCCCGTGTTCTGGGCATCAAGTGGAAGAAGGGCACCAAGCGCCCCGACAAGAGCAACGCCATCGATCTGTTGGTCAGCGGCGAGCTCCCCAAGTCCGGTGCGGAGCGCGAGATGTTCGAGGCTGTCTTCGAGGAGGTTCCGCCCGCATTTACTGATGCGGAGAGAGAAGAGTGGCTTGGCAAGCTGACTAATGTCGCTGTGTCAAGTGATGCTTTCGTGAGTAAAGTTCGCACCTGCTTCGAGTGAAAACCTTCTGACAAGAAACAGTTCCCCTTCGTCGACAACGTCTTCCGCGCATCTCGATCCGGAGTCAAGTACATTGCAGCTCCCGGAGGCAGCCAGAATGACGGCGCTGTCTTCGAGACTGCGGAGAAGCTTGGCATTACGTTTGTTGAGCAGAATGTCCGCCTCTTCCATCATTAAGCGTCTGTTATTATACCAAATCGGTGTTGCGGGATTCAACTTGGGCATGAGAATGGACGGATTTTGGTCCTGAAAGGGGGAATAAAAGTTACAAATGATGATGATAGCTGGCAACCCAACAGCCTTCGCAACTAGATGCGAGCAGCATGCGAGCGGCACGTTAGGCGGCATGTCGGCTGGCCATGTGAGGTGGCAGATACCATTTGCTAAGCACAGATTACAAAAAACGTTGGGCCGCTTTTGTCAGATGACTGTGATATTCAACATATATCCGGAGTACAATGGGATGGACTTTGAAGGAGTTTAGTTTAGCGGAGCCTGAAATCGGTGGCTGCATGGAAATAAAAGCCATTATGAGATGAGAAATTTGTGTTCACGTGCTATGCAGAACCTGCGGCATCGGGCGTATGATTTAGAGTTTTCCTCTTTGACTACGAAGCAGATGATATCTACTTTCAGATGCGTGAATTGCCGATCTCGCAATAGCTCCCGACGCGGGATCTAAAGCAAGCTCGTCGACGCAAACATGGTATGGCAATCAATGGCAAGGCGACTCTAGACGGAAGTCTATTCGCAAGGTAATACGAAGATGTGCATACGAAGACATGCAACTCTATAATGGCGTTCCCCTCACGTGTGGCTGACATCTACCGCTCCTAAAGGCTGGCTACCATACCCGGACGCCACTTGGGGCATTTCGAGAAGTCAATTTTGGTGTTGAGGCGGCATCGTGGAGATTTTCTGAAGTGAAAACATGCAATGGCGTCGTCCTCGGAACTTTATTGCGCGTCATTGTTCCGTGTGTCTGACAGCCCAGTGGCTTGCCATTGTTCTAGAGTCGGATGAACTATTGACGGATGTTGCCTTGTCTCTTGCTTACCCGTCAGTTGGTCTGCTGCCTCTTGAACGCCCCCCTCGCGGTTGATAAAGGACGGTCCCTAGCGCACTGACCATTAGCGTCACCTACTGTGTACCTTAGGTATTACTGCGTATTATTCTCAGAGATATTGTCTTCCAGTGCAAATAAACAGGCACGCACGCAATCTGATATTGAACACTGCTTACATACGCAGACCCTGGCAAGCCAGTCCGAACCAATGGGGAGCTGCTCATGTGCTGAGAAAGGGCACATGGTGGGGCAGGTACCAACCACGGGCCAGTGATTACAGAAACCCCCCCGGTGGCACCCACACCCCTGTGGTCAGCCTCTCAGAGCCAAGTGACGAAGTCTCTTTTGGAGTCGGGCCCGCCAGTTCTCTCGAGAGACACATGGGCGAGGGCATGAGGACCGGAGAAAGGGCCTCATCTCGGCGGCCCTCTCGTTTTTCCTACGGCTTTAAGGTTTTGGGGCTTCTTCTCCAGTCGACCTTGACGAGTATAATAAGGCAGCGGCAGTCGGCACCTTGGGGCGGTTGGAAGTGAGGAACAGACACGGCAAAGACTCATTCTCAAGAGACTGAGTGAATTTTGCAGTGCAATATCGCGAACAAGAAAAAAAGGGAAGAAAAAGCCCGGCGCAACAACCATCGCTCCTCAATTATACCGACAGGTACGTCCTATTAAATCATGAAGCGCATATTTGGCAAGGTGATTGACAGCAATGACAGGGGTTCTGGTGTTACGCTGGCAGGTTAGCCCCTCCGTCACCAGCCAGAGAGGCCGCATTTTCGCGCCAGAGGCCATCAAGGTTCTCACGCCGCACCGCACCTGCTCATCGCGCGCCTGCAACACCGCCTTCCCACAACGTGGGTAGGAACTTCCTACCGTTGCGGGTTGCCCTTGGTCCCTGGGAGTCCTGAGAAGAGGAACCAGTGGTGCCCAGTCCAATCCAATTCTTCAATTCTCGACTTCTTGCCCCTCAAGCCTTGTCAACGGTTTGACTCGCCTGGTCACGCCTCGCCTCGCCTCGCTTCGTACCAACCTTGAAGCTTTCATCCCACTTTCATATTACCCTTCTACCCAAGTCTTGGTTCTGTTTCGTCAGGGCATTCATTACTGGACCTTCCTCCACAACGTTATTCCGTTACTACTACATCTACCCTCCCCGACTCTGACACCTGGAGGAATTCTCCGTCCCCAGGGTCTCAGTTTTGCGGCTCTTTTCTTCCCACCTTCTCCAAGAACCCCCCGACCTCCAGTGGCCCAAGCTGCCGGTCGATCGACAGTCTCCGTGGAACTTCTCCCGAGCCGCATGGAAGATTCAGAGATCCTTAACATCGTCATATCAGAGTTATGGACGGCCAGCACGACGGCTTACCGTCCTTCGGTGGCCACGCCTCCGGCTTCTTTCTCGACCCGTTGGACGTGGAACATCTTAACGACCATTTCACCGGTGGCGTCACTTTGCCAGTATCGCACGATGAGTCCTGTATGGATTTGAACTTCGACCATATTGCCTGCAGAGGCCCGGATAGCAACAACCAACACCACCCTGTACCCAACCACAACCACCCTCTCACCCTGAACACCATGCCGATGCATGCCCGAAGACACCACAGCCTATCCACGATGCCTACACTACCCAACTACTTCGATCCCCGAGGCCAAATGCCCTTGGGCTTCGGCTCGAATGCCATCATGTCACCAACGGGGGCCATAGGCTTTGGCGTCTCGACCCCCAACTCGAGCCCTCAGCTCGAGGATGATAGTACCTCCGCGGCTTGCAGCAGCTTGGACTGCAATCGATGTGTTAGCGAGTGTGGCGCTAGTGAAGCTGGCGATGTTTGCACCGATGCAGAGTGCGCTCAAGCTTGCGACGATGACGACTGCGACGAAGCTGCTGCGCTTTGTACAGACGCCGAGTGTCCAGCCAACGACATCATCTCTGATAAGGACAAAGCTGCTGCCGATGTGCTGGCGTCTATTGGGGACGCTTTCAGCCAGGATGGCATGCTACCTCCGTCGATGTCTTCGATGCCGTCGATGCCTGCTCAATATTACGCAACCCAAAGCTCCTATCAAAATGGAGGAATCCAAGCAGCAACTCCAAGTCATTTCCACGCCGGCGGGATGACCATGTCGATGGCTCATTCAATGAATATGGGCAACTCTTTTCAGAGTAATCCCGACCTCTTTCACACTGCCCTCGAGTCTGTAATCGACTTTCAGGATCCTAGCATGCCTGAGCCCATAGGATGGATGGCACTTGGCTTGCACCTTAACGATCATGCACACGCTCAGACAACCTGTATACGGCCTTGTATGACAGAGAACCGGAATTTGCCGACCAGGTGCCCGCTTCCTCACCAAGCGCATGCTCATCAAGGTGAACTTGATTTCTCCTTTTGCATTCCCGACCCAAGCTCAGGGTTTGTACCTTGCGGCGCTGAGCTCAACGGCGTCGAGGATTGGGCTAGCCATTTCCAAGAACAACATGTTATTGCGCCAGAAGGAGAGCATACCAACTATTCCCATGCATCGCAACACTCTTACCCAAACCTGATGGCGCCGAATCGTCAGTCTGATTACCTTCCAGGAGGTCTTCCTGACCCGGCCCATGCTGCCCAAGGTAAGGAGCCCAGCACATCTCCTCTATCAGGGCTCCAGGCGTCTTCGTCCCCACGACCGTCTCCGGCCACTGCACAAACCCAGCCCAGCCCTGATAAGCCCGGGGCTGAAGTGTTCATTTGCCAATGGGTAATCGCCGGTCAGATTTGCGGTATGAGCTACTCGAACGATGACGCTCTGCAGATGCATTGCAAGGAGAGACACATTGTCAACCTTGGAAAGACAGATGCAGGATACAAATGCTGCTGGGAGGGATGTGCGCGTGAAGGGCATTTCACGCAAAAGAGCAAGCTTGAACGTCACCTGCAGACACACACCGGCTGTAAGTCACGACCTCATCATCTTCAATGACCAAGTATGCTGATAATGCGTCTAGTCAAACCGGTCAGGTGCACTATATGCGATACCCCGTTGTCTGCCAAGCAGTCTCTTGCGCAGCACATGAGGATTCATACTGGAGAAAAGCCCTGGACCTGCAAGTTTCCCGATTGCAAAGCATCCTTCAAGCAGCAGAGTGCATTGAGTAAGTGAAACCAATATCCTTGGGTCCAAATAATTTCTAACTATGTTCTAGCAATGCACCAGCGAACCCACACAGGCGAAAAGCCACTCAAGTGCGAGGTTTGCGGCAAGGCGTTTGGCGAATCGTCCAATTTGTCGAAACACAGAAAGACGCATAACGTGAAGGGTGCTTTCAAGTGTGATTTCTGTGACAAGGACTTTCATAGACTGGACCAGAAACGCAGACATGAGAAGATTCACCGTAAGGTCGCGGATGCGCTTAAGGCTGATAATTCTACTCCGTCTATCAAGAAGACACAGGGCGGTCGAGTTACAAAGACAGCAGATCGAAGAAACAGTAAGTGATCAACGTGGACAAGGTTGATCGCTTCGCTGGTGGTTTTTGTGGTTCAGGGGGGGGGGGGGGGCATTCTCACACTACGGATGGCTTTTTTCTTTGTCGACGTCTCATGAAATACCCTTATAGGCTCCAAGATACCGGACTGGCGTTTACATGGAGAAATGGATGAGGTCAGGACGGCATAACAGACTTCGGTGTTCAAGGCGGCGGCGAAAAGTTCAAGGGACTTGGACTTATTCTGACTTTGGTGGGCTTGGGAAAACATTCTGTTTTTCATGACGAATTCACGGTAGGTACGGTCAGCAATGAGGATAGAATTAGTATTGTAGCAATACAGTACTAGCAGTAATACCGTATGAATGACGCTTAATTGACGAAATATGTTGAGGGTGTTCTCCATGGCTTTCGAGTTGTATCTTTCTGTTTCCAAATTAGTGGACCTGGTTATGCCCGCACTCGGCCCAGAGGCCAATATTATCATTGAACGACAGATCTGTATCAATCCGTAGATGATCCTTTCGGGAGCAAATATTCCACAGGTAGAATGGTTTTCCGGTCCTGCCATGGAAAATAGGGAAGGACGGGTCATTGAGATTCCGGTGATGGCTATCTATGTTCTGTCTCGGTAGGACTTACGCACCCTGTAGGCCATCACAGGCCATCACAACCCCAGAAACCGGGTTTGCGACCAGAGTAGGTGAGTGGGCAGCGACCCGGTCATGTTGTCAACCTTCTGCTCGGGGGCACGTATGAGCTAGGGAGGGGGAGAAGGCTTGTGCAGCGTTACTAACATATGAATGACATGACCACGATTGCCGCGCAAGGCAACAGAGCAGTGTTCTTGCCTTTTCTTTCGTAGGTTTTCGTCCTGGTTCCGTGCTCCTGAGGCGTTGATGGATACGAGCTGGAGATGGTGAGAGTCTTTCTATGTGGTGTCTATAGTTTGCCAGTCTCGTCATCGCTTCAGTTTGTGATCAAGTATTACACGGCACTAGATATGACAGTGAATTTGATAGGATTGTCATGTGGCATGGTGATGATCAGATTACAAACGAAGTCTTCGTTCATCGGTACAGAAGGTGACTATGTGCGAGCTCATGTCCCACTTTTCGCCTTTATTCGCCATACTGGCGAGGCAGCCAAGGAGTAGGAGACTTTGACGACAAAATTCATATCTGGCGAACCACGAATAAAACGTTCTGCGGCCTTCCTCACGAATCAGAGCGAACAAGGTTTTCTCTCGTGAACGGTATCTTCCGAGAGAGAGGTAGTACGGTGAATGTAACTTTGGAGGCGTTCTGTCAGGTGGAGAGGGGAATCGCTTTGGTCGTAGAGGGACATACCCGACGCGATGAACTCTCGGATGAGGGACATGGTGTACCTTGGGGGGTGGGGGGGCGTGAAGTTGGTAGATTTACCCTTCTGCACCCTACCCCTCGTGCCCCTTTCCCCCTTTTTCTCCCCTTCCTGCCTCCTGGCGATGCTTCGGCGAGATTCTGTATTGTGGCTTCACGAAAGGGGAGGCATCATATGATGATGAAATTTGCCGCGTTGAGGAGAAATTCTTGCGTTGGTTTGGGGAGGATCTTCTTGGAAATGATGCCCTGGACTTGGCTGCGGGCGTTGTTCGTGATGCTCGACAAGTTTGGTGGCTGTTCAGCGGGTCTCAAGTGAGGTGAATGCTGATGATAACCAAAAACCGCCATGGAACGGCAAGTCGGTCCTATTTTGTCTGTCTGTCGTGTTCGTGCCGATCGTGAAGAATCCTTTGAGTTCAGGCTGTCTTTGGACTTGATGTGCCTTGCCGACGAGAGTTGTTATCTATGGGTGGAGAGACTCGTAACAGAACGTGAAGTTAAAGCCTGTCCCTTACTGGGCTGAAATGGATGAGATAGCAATGAAAGTATTCCATGGGCTGACCTCGCTTCACTGACAATATTGTGAACTTCGCTTTTTCCATGACCGAGTGCTGTGTCCTGGTGTCCAGACCCGTTCCACCCATAGGAAGGCATCGAGGGTAGAGCGTTGGATGAAGCCTCAATGAGATCGCCAGAAGACGGCGTCCAATACCCGTAAACCAATCATTGTGAGCGATTCCACTTCAGTATCCTTGTCGTCTTAATTCAACGTTAAGACAAGTAAAGACTTTGTAGAGTCTATACACATTTGACAAGAACTTGAGACCGCCCTCGAAACGTGCCTCCGTTGTTCCTCACCACGGCATTAAGTATCTTATTTCATGGCATTGCACGTTGTATGGAGCCAAGCCTCGGAATATCATGTTGCTACTTCCTTTTTCTAGGCACGAGAAGATGGTCGTACTTGTGTTGGCGGGATGCCCCCTCCCACGCAACTTGCCCCATCCCGAGGTCGATTCTTTTTATTGTCCACACAGCGTTTCACAGGGAGATGGAGGTCTGGGAAGAGAAAATGGGGTAAGCTGCAGGAAACTACAGGAGCTGGAGCAGCGTTTGTCTGGCTTTAGTCTGGTCTACTAAGAAAAAGCGTGCTGCGCTGAATAAAATTGTTCCAGTAGTAGTTGCCACTAAGAAGACTCTAGACGATATCGCCATCGGCGAGAAGGAAGTAGAGGTGTGCCTGTGGTGACGGGGACGGCATGACCACTCATCACCGACTAATGTCATATCATCGCGTGGAAGTGTTCATCTTCTGAAGAAAACCATGGTTCCATGAGGCAATGTGCCTTGGTGTTCTTTGCTGTAGTTTGCGAATGAAATCGTGAGCTTCAGAGGCCAGTCTCGAGGGCGATGAAGTGTGGCGGAGGCCTCGGATTGGCGCTTGTCATCTACCTACCACGTCGAAATTCAGCGATAGAGACGCCAATCTCGTAAGGTAGACATGTGTCCAGATATCAAGCAGTTAAATGGGGGAGGAGGGCAGTAACACAACTTGAAATCAAGTCTAAGGCGTCGACATCAAAAATGGACATAGGCCATAGACAGTAGACATGGACGAATGAGAGGGGACTACAAGCTTGAGCATGGACATCGTCTGGCCTGTGTCTGCTTACTTCTCTTAAGCAATGGTAATCATCACACAACGTCATATATCAGTGTATAGGGACTCCATCACATTTGAAGAAGAAAAAAGGAGCAAACTTTTGAAGTCGGGACATCTTTGGGCCCCATCATTTTGGCAGCTCTATGCTACCTCACACCACACACACCCGAGGGAATCCTCTCCCTCCCACCACGCAAGAAAGGAGGGGTGGGAAAGAACAAGAGAGGGGGATTCTTGTGAAGCCCATCCTTTTTCGTTTTTCGCTTGACCAATGTTTTGACCCGTCTTGAGAGAAATCCATTTCGTGTTTTGCAGCACTGGGGGGAGAAATGATAAAAGTGCAAATAAACCCTTAATTTCCCTCCGTGACCATGCAATGCATCATCGAGTAATTCGGGATCCCCGTGTGCCAAAAACGTGTTACGCCTCCGTGACCATTTTCATTGTTCCTCATCCCCAGATCTAACCCAGCAGCGGTCGGTCTAAATTTAAGCAGACTGTATGAAGAAGTCAGTTTCAATGTTTCCTAAGGATGCCATTCGTGATCTCGGCCAGGGAACATGAGAAGTAGCGCTCAACAGAGTGTCGAAGATCGTCCCCTCATGATGCGGCCTTCGTCAATCGCTCCTCTCATGGCTCCCTAGCCTCCATTCGAATGGCAGATATTCCGACTCTACTGACCTTGACGGCGAACTTGCGCTGGGGGAAGTGGGTGGTGCGCTTCTTGGCCTTGTCGGTGACAGCGCTGGCCTCCTTCTCGGACAATCTCCGGCGGATGGCACGGGTCTGCTTCGCGCGGAGGTCGAGGGGAGCGTACTTCTTGTTCTTGTAGAACAGGCGGAGCTGGGCGCGTTGCTTGGAGTTGATGACGGTAAGGACGCGAGCGATCGACTTGCGGATGTCGTGGCTGTAGAGCGGAAAATTTCACCGGTCAGTCCTCTTGGTTTCTCTTTTTTCGATCGACGATTCCTCCAATCAACTCGGATCAGGACAGGGGGGATCAAACGCACATCTTGTTCAGCTTGCTGCCGGAAGAGGCGATCTTCTGGATGCGGAGCTGACCGAGCTCGGTCTTGAGCTCACCAAGTTGCTTGGTCAAATCATCCTTGTTCTTGCTCCAAAGGGCGACGGCCTTGACCTTTCCGGACGACTGGGACATGATGAATTCTCGTCAGCGAAACGGGTTCTCTTTTCTCCTATGCGGCTCCTTGCAAGCAGCTCCTGCCGCCTCTGGTGTTCGCTTTTTTCGTCGGGAAGGGGCTATTTCGGGCGCGGGGTGTCGAGGATTCGGCGGGAAAGTTGCGTCGGGCTATTCGAGGATCGCCAATTCCATCAGGGAGAGCAAAAGGGGTTCACTCACCATCTTGACTGATATGGGGGGTGGCGCTGGATATCTGGGTTAGTATCGACACGTCGTGAGAGAGGCTGAGGTGATCGATCGTAAATTTGAAAGTTTGGCAAAAAGCTGTTGCCCTAGTTTGTGCGCAAAAATTCGGGACCCGGCGCGGGGCCTGCTGTGATTGGGTGCATGTGGGCCTTGGGGTTTCGAAGTCGCTGGTCATGAACTGCGCCACAGCGACTCCAGCCACAGTCTGTCACCGGGGCTGGCCGTTATCAAGCCAAAGCAGCTTGACTGAGCGAGATATCAATGGCATCGACATGTAGTTGCAACACTTTGTCTCGAATCTTTGGAGACATCTAGGGAATCTGGCGATATTGCACAAATGTTTCGAAGTTGATCAATTAGCCCTTTTGCCTTTGGGCATAAAGATATCACAGGCTTGATTCCCGTTTCATGCCATCTGTCCCTCGTCAGAAGACTTTGTGTCAACAAGTATCTAATGAGGCAAACAGAATGCCCGAGTAACAATGCCTTCTACAAACGAGTTTTTTCATGGCGTTCTAGCACATCATGAGCAAATCCTTGATGCTCCAGACTTTAATGCGACTCTACCCGCACCCGCAGTTCTCGTGCAACACTTTCGGCACTTACATAATCATTCAATGTGCACGGTCCATGTGACGCCGAGCTCCTCCCCTGCTGCGTCTGGTCCCTGCCGACAGTCCCAGACACGCGGACATGCCAGAGTCCAGCGAAAGACAACATCTCGACATCAAAGGGCTACCAACGTACAGCAACCACCAAACCATACACAATTAGCATCGAGGCGCTATGGCTGCAGCTACTGGAAACACCGGCTGGGCCCAGCTGCGGCAACAGGCAAGAAGTCTAGAAACACAGGTACGATATTCCTCTGCTCAGAACGTCATCCAGGCTTCCCTGACATCCGGCCTCCACAGACAGAGACGCTATTCCACACCTACTCTCAGTTCTCGACGGTATCCGACATCCCGGCAAAGCCCACAGAAGAAGAAAGGACCACAGAGGCGAAGCTCCAAGATCTCCTCGAAAAAGTACGCTCAAGCCCTCGTTCGAAAGACCTCGGCTCTCACCCCCTTCGCTGCCTTGAACGTCCGTACTAACATGGCCGCCAAACCATCAGCGCGAGAACGTCATTTCACAATTATCCCGCCTCCTCGATTCAGAAGCTGCTCTCACCTCATCCGCTCTGAAACAGAACAACCTGGCTCTCCTTCGTGAGAAGCTCGCCGAGCATAAGCGCGATCTCGTGCGCCTGCGCAAAACCATTTCCGAGGCTCGCGATCGCGCCCACCTTCTTACGAACGTTCGCTCCGACATCGACGAATACCGTGCCAATAACCCCGAAAACGCCGAGGCCGAGTACATGCTTGCTGAGCGCAGCCGCATCGATAATAGTCACAACATGGCTGATAGCGTCTTGTCCCAGGCATACGCTGTCCAGGACAGCTTCAATATCCAGCGCGAGACACTCGCCAGCATCAACCGTCGTATCACCATGGCTGCCAGCCAGGTACCGGGGTTGAACAGTCTCATTAGCCGTATCTCAGCTAAGAAGCGCCGGGACGGCATCATAATGGGCGCATTCATTGCGTTTTGCTTCCTGATGTTCTGGTGGTTCTTGTAATAAGCGGAGGCCCGGCATGGCTGAAATGACGTTCCTCGTGTGTTTGTTATGTGTTCAACAAAGCCGTTACGACTAGGGAATTATTGGCATAAGGGAAATGCGGAGGCGTTATTGGGATTGTTTTTGAACTTTTTTTTTATCGGATAGGGGGTATCTTTGGTGCATATTGTACACTATAAGAACACGAATATCTGTAAGCCATAGCCAGGTTACACGAGCCTGACTGCTATACAAGGTTGGCTTTTCTGAGCCACCTGAGGAAAAGTTTTTGTCCTCTTTATCAGGATACTTCCTTCTTTCCCTTCGCTGCGTCCTTGACCTGAGCAGCCTCAAGTGCTGCCTTTTCGTTCTTATTCCACTCGTGGAGGACTAGCTTCATGCCCTTTACCAAGCTCTCCCTCTCATCGGGGTGACTAGGGCCACTGGCAGCCCATCTTATCCTACACAGGTTGTCCACCAGATAAACATAACCTACTTTGCTGTTGAGGTATCCAATAGACTCGCTAATCTCGTTTGTGATGCCGCGGGGTACCAAGAAGTACTTTCCCCAATTGTGCTCGGGGATTTGTTTGCGCAGGTTGCCCATGAACATCTTTACGATCCACGCCTTGAACTTGTTGTCCTCAATGTTGAGCTGGAGGACCTGCGTCTTGCCGGGCGTCTTGGCCAGGAGCTCATGCAGCTCCGGATTGGCCTCGGGGGAGATGAAGGTCTTTGCCTGGTCGTCGGCCCACTGGCTGCTGTAAACGGCGACGACGGAGACCTTGCCGAGCAGCGTCCGCGTCGTGTCGCGGGGGTTATTTGCGTTCTTTGCAAGGGTGTCGCCAACGAAGTTGGGGAAGAAGAGGGACATGTCGGCCTTGAAGGGGAGAGGGGGCGCGATGAAGGATTTGCCCTCGTGGAACTGCATGTTGCGCCAGTCGCGGAAGTAGGGGCGCGCCATCTTTTCCTTACTACACAAGGAAGGACATACCAATCAGCCATACGGTCTTGAGTGTTTCTTTGAGGCATTATCACTGGGGAACTCACAGCTCTTTACGACGCACGAGATGCTTGTCGTAGTCGACAAAGTCATCCCTCCGTTCTTTCAGCGACCTCCTATCCACGCCAGAGTTGTCCTCTGGGTGAGGCGGGTGCGCCATGCCGATAGGGCGCGGCAGAGGCTGCGGCGTAAAGTTGGTGATCTTCTTGCCGTATGCTCTCGGGGCATGAATGGCAGATCCGGGAAGGTCGGGCTTCGGAGCCTCTACGGGGGCGGCGCCGGGCGCCGGGGTCGGGAGCTTGTCGGCCAGGTAAGGTCGGGAGGTGCTCAGGTGCCGTCGCCATGCGCAGACTGTGCAAGAGACCATCGTCCTTCTAGAGGCCCCCATGGACAGGGCCATTGTCCGTAACGGTGTGATTGGAACCATTGCGCCTGGTTGTTTTGGTGTAGTTGGCTTCGACTTTCAAATTCTGTCGAGGTCTGGTCTGTCCTGGCCTTGTTGAACATCAAAAAAATCGCGCCACATTACTCCGGCTTCCCTGTCGCACGAAGCTGGCGCCACAAGGTCTCCAGCCACAATTTGACAAAAGCCCAAGGCCCTTGAGCCGCGAGCGATAACAGAGTGGATTAGCGACGCTTCAATGCGGAGACGAGGGGGAAAGAGCCAAGCGCACTGAACCGACGCAGCGGGTCTCGGGCCACCCTGCAGCTTCCCCGAGGGGCATTTCACATTGTGTCATGGGGGACTCAATCGACCTTCACTGGCCGAACACCGTGAATAGCCGAGTGTTTGGGGGAAAGGACAATGCCGTCGCCGAGCGGTTCAATCCTCCTGCAAGTGCGTTCGCACATTCCTTGGGGAGTACCTTCCCTTTTTCTCATTTCTCTTTTAGAAAGAACAAAAATTAGAAGTTGGGAATTGGCTTCTTATCCTTTTAACTTTTCAAAAAATAAACCAAAATGTTTCTTCAAAGAGGATCGCGCGCCGTCCGGACGCAATGGCACGTCTCCAAGAGCATGGCTCGCCTGGCCGCGGCAAGAGCTGCCGGCGTCTACCCCTCCAGACAGTTCCACGGCACACGGCATCTGCGGGTTGTGAAGCCTGTCTTGCTGGCAGATATTGGCGAAGGTTAGAAGTACCCAGTTCTACCCCTTGTTTCACAGAGACATGTCTAACAGTCCCGATTTACACAGGCATCGTGGAGTGCGAAATCATACAATGGTTCGTCGAGCCCGGCGCCCGAGTCGAAGAATTCTCCCCTCTGTGTGAGGTCCAGAGCGACAAGGCGTCTGTGGAGATCACCAGCCGATTCTCAGGCGTTGTACAGAAGTTGCACTACGATGCCGGCGACATGGCCAAGGTCGGCAAGCCTTTTGTCGACATTGACATACAAGGCGGGGCTAAGAAGGAGGACCTGGATGCGCTGACAGCCCCGACGGAAGCGGCACAGGAGAAGCCCTCACAAAAGACGCCGGAACCTCCTGTACAGCCCAAGTCACAACAGAAAGACAAGACACAGGACCAAAGCAGACAAGAATCGGGGGTGGCATCTCAGGATGCGGCCAGTACTGAGGATGCCCCACGGCCAAAGGGTAGCCATGCCTCGCTTGCTACACCGGCGGTGCGGCATCTGACCAAGAGCCTGAACGTAGACATTGCCGAGATTAACGGCACGGGAAGAGACGGGAGGGTTCTTAAAGAGGACGTACAGAACTTTGTCAAACGCCGCGACGCCGGTGACAGGCCCGCTGGGGCAACGACTCCATCCCCGGCCGCCGCGGCCCCGCCTTCCGGCGCCGCACAACTCGAAACCCGGGTCCCGCTCACGAACACCCAACAGCAAATGTTCAAGTCCATGACCCGCTCCCTCGCAATCCCCCACTTCCTCTACGCCGACGAGATCGACTTCTCCAGCCTCGTCCAGCTGCGCACCCGCCTCAACCGCGTCCTCGCGACGTCCCCCGAGGTGGGCGGCGGCGAGGCCGGCGTCGCGAAGCTCTCTTACCTCCCCTTCATCATCAAGGCCGTCTCCATGGCGCTCTACCAATACCCCATCCTGAACGCGCGCGTCGATCTCGACCCTTTCTCCTCGCCGTCGTCAAAGCCGTCCCTCGTCATGCGCAGCCAACACAACATTGGTGTAGCAATGGACACTCCCGCCGGCCTCCTAGTGCCCGTGATCCGCGACGTCGGCTCCCTCAATATCCTCTCCATCGCCTCGGAGCTGACGCGCCTGCAAAAGGCGGCCTTCGCGGGCAAGCTCGCGCCGGCGGACCTCAAGGGCGGGACCATCACCGTCTCCAACATTGGCAACATTGGCGGCACCTACCTCTCGCCCGTCATCGTCGACAAGGAGGTCGCGATCCTCGGCATCGGCCGCATGCGCGCCGTGCCGGCGTTCGAGGGAGAGGACTCGGACAGGGTGGTGAGAAAGCACGTTACCAACTTCAGCTGGAGCGCTGACCACCGCGTGGTGGACGGCGCGACCATGGCCCGGGCCGCGGAGGTGGTGCGGCGGGTTGTGGAGGAGCCCGACGTCATGGTCATGCATATGAGGTGAGAAGCGTTGCAAAACTTGTTCTGGAAGGAATTTTGGGGGAAAGGGAGTAAGCGTGCGTGTGTGTTGTATCTACCTTATGACTCCGGGACCACCCACCACCCCAAGAGAGATGGTGAGAGAGGAAAAGGTAACCCTCAGTAAGGCGCCTTATGGATGACGCCGTTCGGCCGCCGCGTGATGCGGAGCCAGAGGCCGAGGATTCCATGAAGGTGTGGGTCGGCGGGCGGAGGGCTGGATGACTTACAAGACTCTTGACAATTAGACGTCTAATGATTTGTAGATGTGAGGCGAGGGCGAGCAGGGGTTCTACAGTGGTGGGTGTAACCAACTACCTACCTACTCTGCAAGCACCAATAAGGGGCAAAAATAGCTTGCGGGAAAAATTCAAATCCAAGAGTTCAAACGAAAACGAGGATCATCATCAAATCTACAAGATTGGGCTGCTGCCCGACGCACGTCTGACAAGCATTCAACTGTATCGTGTGCAACCCAACACCCAATAAGGCAGTGTACCCAAGTACGTACGACCGTATGCGTTTGCGCGTTGAAGGCCGTGATATTGATACCTTACATCAACCAAGCGCTCCAGGCTGCCCCACAGAGCCAACATCCCCCCGAGGCCGACCCCCCTCTCCTCGGTGTACTTGTAGGCAGGGACATATGTGACGGCCCAGTGACGACGGACGAACGCCTCTCCACATCCTCACCGAGTCGACGCCAGCCAATGCTAAAGAATCCCTGAACGGCAAACGTGAACGATTATGCTCCGTAGCAATGCAAGTGCCTCGATCCGGCAGGTTGCCCACCACTTCAAGCAGTAACAAGGGTTTGCACATGAGTACACCACAGAAGGGGGAGGAAGGAAGGAGGGGCAGATTGGGCACGTTGAGAGGGAAGATGTAGTAAGATAGTAGTAGTAGTCATATTTCGTCAGTTATAATATTGTATAATACTGAACTAAGAGAAGTTGCAAGTGACAGAAAACGCAACAATCTACCCGGCCAAAGCCTGACCATTGAGAATTCTCTGTTTTGCGAACCCCTGCATGGAGTGAGGAAACAAGCGCCAAACCGGCTCAACGTCGCCGTTGTCGCCTCCATGGCCAGCCCATTAAACCTGTCTGGCCTTGATATATCAGGTTGCCATGTGTTGTCCCTCCTCCCTCCCTGTTGCATGATTCCATCCCGCTGATTGGGTTGCGCAAAGGATGCCATTCGTGGCGCAGATCCTCGTGACACCCCTTCATCTCCGTACATTGCATGCAGGCTGACTTGTCAAAGCCAGCAGTTTTGTGAACCAGATCCCAATGCTGACGCCATGAATACCCAAAAGTAAACGCTCACTTCTATGCCCGGAACTCCAATATCCCGTAGGATAATTTGCCAAAAAAGAAGCTGCCAAAAAAAAAAAAAGGACCAATGACAGTGCGCCTTCTATAGCCGGTATTCAACTCATGCCTCCTCTTCCATTGCGGCCTTGACGTTGGCCAAGGCGTCGCGCTTGACTTCCTCAAGGGAGCGGCTGACGTCGAGGCTGATGACATCGGTCTCATCGGCCATGGGGGCCTCGAGAGACTGGAACTGGCTGCGGACCATGTTGGCGCCCATGTAGTGGTTGGTGGCAGCGCTGCGAGCCGTCACACGCTGGACCAGAACGCTTTCGGAGGCCGACAGGTAGATGAAGTGAATGAGGATCGAGCGATCGTAGTATCCAGCAACGCGGATCACGTCTCTGTACTTGCGCTTCAGAGCCGAGCAAGTGAGAACGACTCCGTCGGAGCCCGCAGCCAGCTGGTGGCGGGACTCTTCGCGCAGGGCAACAAGCCAGTCCCAACGGTCGGCGTCGGTAAGAGGAATGCCATTGGCCATCTTTTCGATATTTGCTTGAGGGTGGAACTTTTCAGGCGCGAGTCAGACAGAATTCCGAAATACGAGGCCAGAAAGCACCACTTACACTGTCACCCTCAATGTAGGGCAGCTTCAGAGCTTGAGCGAGGTACTCGGCGACAGTCGTCTTGCCACAGCCAGCGGGACCAGTAACTAGCCAGATGTGGTGATACTTGGTGTCGAGAGATCCGTTTACGTGTGCGCCATTGTTTGCCGTAGTCGGAACCCCAGGAACTCTAGGCTGGGTCTTGGAGGCAACGGCTTGTTGTACGCCGTTGGTAAGTCCCGAAGGAGACTTGGGGGTTTGTCCACTGACAGGCATCGGGGAGTCGTAGGAAAGCATTGTTTTGTAATATTATCGTGAAGAGGAACGGGTCACGGATAGACTGTTTGAGGGGAGCGGGTTTATGGCGCTGTTGCGTTGTCTGGAGGAGACAGGTTGAGGGGCGTAGGTAGCAGCTCAGGTCTTTGACACGATCTAGGAGATAGTTATGGGATATTGAAGAATTCAACAGATGACGTGCAGTATTATATGTAGGATAATTCTTGTGAGGGTGACAAAAAGATCAGAGACAAGTCAAGGAAACGTTGATCGGAGTGTAAGTGTAGGGCGTTCCTGTCTTATAAGTGTCACGGACGAGACTTCTCTGGGTCTGGGGGATCGATGAGGTAAAAAATTCCAACCGGGACTCAAGGGGTGCCCTGACGGCAACTAAAACGCCCTGGGGGGAGCGCACAGCAGGTTCCAGTACCTGGACTTCAGCGGACTTCTCTCGGGCCAGGGGTAGAGAGGGACCAGGGGGGTGTCACTGACCCGGATCCCAAAGAGCGGCGTCCCCTAGTCGTCATGGTGGCCAATCAAGGTGTTGCATATCCCAGCGGGGAGAAATCCGTTACTCCACAAAGCACTGGGGGAGGGTGGTCAAGCCCATATCCGTGGGGGTGCGCTCAGAGATGACTGTGTGCTTGCGTCTGATGTCCTTGACTGCTGTCTCCATGTACGGATACGTTCGCCTTGTACTTTTTCTCCGCGGGATCCAAATGCCAAGGAGGTCGCATCTGGGGCAGACGTGGGACGAATGGAACAAGATCAGAGTTGCGCCTGATGGAGGGCAAATCGTTGGACGAAACGAATCCGTTGTTAAGTTACAATATCCGGCTGTTGGAGCATGAGATGTTGCGACGGGTAACTGCATTCAGGTGTCTAGGTTTTGAGACTGAGCACCTAGCAATGGCGCGCAATCGACTATTGGGATCATCTTTGGTAGCTGCGGTACGGCAACTAGGTAAGGTGGTAGACGTGCTCAGGCCGGCCCTCCAAGATTGTCCACTAGGCTGTCTTGTACTATAGCCAGAATAAGTCTGATGGCCTTCGGAACATCCTATGTCTGTACCGTGATGGCGGAAGGGTGAGGGAGACCAACAACGGCAACCATCGAGAGCCGAATAAAGGTATTTCGTGTCTGTATTCGATTCGCGAATCGAATCCCCTGTGTGTTTCTAGTGTATTCGTACCACTCCCCCAAGGTGGTGTACCAGTCTGCGGTGCGCGGTGCGGTGCGATGCGGTACGCTGCGTCGTGTGCATACGGCATCTCAACGAGACCAGGATGAGAGTGTCAGGCGTACCAGGGAAAGTGATTGTCCAGGGCAAACGCCGATACCTAAAACAATTGTGCTGAGTGTTAGCACATTGGCACAGAGCAGGGTGTGGCATTACGCAGTAGGTGTACGTAGTGCTGGGAAAAGGCAAAGCCGGCGGCGATGACAGGACTTGTGTCGCGGGTCCCGGGGAGGGCGGAGGACGGGGCTCGGTCAAGGAAGATGGGAGACTCCAGTTGGTCAGAGACAGAGGAGATGACGATGCTGAGGATGAAAAGGGTTCGAGAGACCTGAATGGCGGGGGGCAGAGAAGGGGGAAAGTGATGAGCGCGTTCGGGCAGGGTGGACGAGGGGGTGCCATTGGCGAGGTGTGGACTGTGGAGGAAGCAGCGTGGGGGGACACACTTTTTCTAGAACATGGCACTAGGGAATAATTACCTGAATCGGGCAGGGGCCAGGGAATCGAGCGAGGTCACTCGACACGCAAAAAAAGACGGAAAATAGAAAGAAAGGGGGAAAAACTTATTAGGCCCTTGACCAAATTTCCAGCCTCGGTGGGGGGAAAGTATCCGATGATGGGCAGCAAACAGCAAGCTTTGACCTGAGGTGAATATGAGGTGACCTTTTGCTCAAGTAAACGCAACTGAAGATACTTCACATCCTTCCCTGCTTCTGAAGTCGGAAGACCCTATTTGGTCAGTGGGGGTCGGTTCGGTGAGTAAGGTAAAACACCTGCACAGTACCTTAGGTCATGTTGAGAAAACCCGCACACCTACCTACGGTAATTGGGATCGGTAGCTCGGAACACCTTTCATCTAGTAGCCAAATACCTTAATCATTAATGACCTGCGGACACCTGCATGCTTGCTTGTAACTCCGTGTTGTTCCTTTGGAACAAGTGCAGTGACTTGTCCGTTTCTCGCTCGACCAGCCTGGCTAACAGACCTGGTCCCCGTCCGGAACTGGTGATGGACGGGGGAAAGTGCAATAAAGTGCGTTTGGCTCTCGGGCAAGCACCGAGAAGCAAGGATTACATCATACCTGCCTTCTGGGTATGCAGTGTCTGTGTCTGTACTCTGTCGTGGGGAAAGAGGTAGTTACGGATACTTGGTACGATTGCTCCCGCTCTATGGCTGCTGCCTTCCATTCCATTCTCTTTCCGAATGCACGAGGACGATGTCAATACCTTGGAGGTATCTACTCCGTACTCCCCGTACCTACCTACCTTGCCAACGAATAATAGAAGACAGCCAAGCGGGGGAGAGCCGGCTGACACTTTGCGATCCGAGGAAAGTGGCCACCGGGGCTAGCTCCCTCGTCCATTCATATAAACTTGCGAGACGGCAGTACATACATTCTCCTTGGTCCGTACCGATGCACCTGCATCTTAACTTCCCAGCCGTGCCAGCCCAGTCCACTCTGGCCCCGTCGCCCTAAGGTCCCGTCATCAACCATGGACTATGGGTCATGAGGTGCAGTCTGCATGCTCTGACTCTGGCGTCTGAGGTGCTCTTTCAAGTTTCGGCTCGGCTGGAGCTCCGGGCGGGGCTCATAACGAGCCGGCACCATTGTCACCACATGGCGGCTCGAGTCCTTGGCCCACCCATTGAACTTGGGAAAATGTGGTTTTCGGTTTGGAGTCTGAAAACAGTTCCCCCTCCCTTCATCGCACTGACTACTTTCCAGCCATTCGGATTGCGTCCTATCATCCTGAGACTCTTTTTTCGCGCTCCTCTCTTCCTCCACCATCGGCCCTCTGCCTCTGTCTGCGTCCACTCTTTCTTCCCACACAGCCCACGCTGTCACGCTGTTCAGACTTCAGAGGCTCCAATTCCCTCCGCAAGACTCCGCTAGGCCCTGGTCCTGGTCTTGCTGCAACCAGCCGTGGTGCATTGCCAGCAGTCAGCTCGTGTGCTCGTCTTGTCGTTGCTGTCCCATCCTATTTTGCCCGCTTTCTTTTTCGCTCCTCCAAGTCTCCAAATTTCTCACCACTCTTCGACCGCCTTCTCCAAGCCCAAAGTGGATCGACCACCGCTCCAAGCACTCCCCGCCAGCTTCCCCAACACTGAACCCAACCCAACGGTCAGAGGATGCGACACGCGAGCGGACAAGGATGGGCCCTTTCCAAAAATTCTTTTTCCTTCTTAATGTCTCGACATACGGACCACACTACGTAAATACGTGCATATTTTTGTCCACAAGTACCGATACCAATCAGTACCGCGCTCATCGGCACATCGGCCTCTCACCGCTCTCAACATGAGCCAGGTGACTGATATCTCGGTGGAGCATGCAGTCTATTAAAATTGCGTCGCGACTGCGATAGATGCATCGGGAACGCTTGTCTCCATCGACTATCGGCTCGGCTTTTGACCTCAACTCTGACAAGAAAGCATACACCGCAGTGATGTGGACGTTGCACCAAATAGGCTCACGCCGTTGCCATCATATACATATACTCAATGAACGGGCGGCATCCGTATGGCCCCCGCCCATCTCATCTATTGCGGGGGGATCGATTGCAAGTTTCGTGACACTTTGCTCAAAGTCTGAGTACCTTGTTATCGAAGAAAGTTAATTCTTTCTAAGTCACAAGTATAAGAATATAGTTTTAATAAAATAGTATAGTACCTACTTAGTACTTAAATTAAGATACTTTTTTAAGCTTACTATAAAAGAAAGATAACTATATTACTAACTACTTACTATCGAGGTCCGTAAGTAGCGCTATAGCTTTAATCGCTATAGCTTTAACTATAATAACTTCGCCCGTAATAGGTAAAAAGTCTAATTATAAGTCCCTTAAAAGCCTCTTATTAAGAGCTATAAGAGCCTCTAAGTTAAGTTAAAATGCTTATTAAGATATTAATAACTAAACTAACCCTACGATAACGACCTTAATAAAATACTTAGTAAATAACGCTAAAATCCTTACCGACGTTAAGTACGATTTACGAAGCGTAGTAACGCGGCCGTAGAGTATTATTAATATATCCTATACTAAGAAGGGTATTATTAATATTAACGAGACAGATAGGGCCGTGTTAATATAGCGCCTCGGCTTCTTCCTATAGCTCGAGGATAATCACCTTAAATAGCATTAGAAGTTTATTAAAAAGCTCTCTCGAGTACTCCGGTATATCTACCGCTATCTCTACAATAGTAAGACTCCCGGCGCCTACGCATAAGAATAGGTTACTTACCTCTAGATAGTAATACTAGCTTACTAATAAGCTATCAAAACTGCGATTCTAGCGATCCCTTAACGAGGGAGAGGGTAGAATAGAGGAAAGGATGGGTAAGAAAAGGGTTAAGGTTGAACAGTGCGGAATTCGAGGGCAGGGTAGCGTCTACATGTACTGCGGCAATCCTCTAGTAATGCAAAACGATGGAGTTAAACAGTGCTTTGCTCAAAGTCAAAACCCCCACAACGCCATGTTTCTTTGACAAGGGATGAGAAGGTCTCGGCGATTCTTACAGTGGTTTGGGGTCTCTGAACACAGTGAGAAAGTAACCGTGGTTCGATTATCAAGTTGAACATCACATTCATCCGTACCTGTGTCAATCGAGAGAATGAATCACTGGTGTAATGCAACCATTGCCTAGCTTCGTCCTCTTCTAACGGTCATCTCATTGTTACTTGCCATCACAGCAGTATTGTCATCGGGCTCCGGTCATATCCACTCTATGGAAGGCTGCGACAACTCCTCTATTCCTTACCAACCTGTGAGGCAAACTGGCAATGAGCGCGCTCACCGGTCCTGTCATCATCGGCACGCACGATAGAGGCCCATGCAAGACATTGCAGTCCAGGCAGATCGCTCCCGATGAGGGCCTGGACGAAGGCTACATGCAATGCGCCCAACATTCCGGATTCCACACACCGCAGACACAGACACGGATACTCTCGTTGGTACTGAAGCAACTGCGAGAAGAAGAGTGAAACTCGAATAATACTGCTTGTCCAAGCCACGGCGGCGCGGGGGATGTTCCCCGGTGACCGCCCTCGGTCTGAGCATCCATGTCACCGTCGTTGGTTTCAAGGGCGCTTGAACTGACCTGCAGCACTGCTCGCTCCGAGACGCCAAGGTAAATGGTCCGAACACTCGGAATCCCCGGGATCTCTCTTCACTTCCCCGGTCGAGAACTCGGCGCAACTCGAAGTGGCATGCAGCACCAGTCGGCTCCTCTTCCCGGCCGAGTCGACACACTTCTTCCTTTCTGTGGATCCACACATCCGTCGCACAACAGACGCAACGTGAGCGACATCCTTGCGAATTTCGAGAGAAACGTGAACCGATTTTGGACGGCTGGTTGCACCGCCTGATCAAGATGCTGCCTGTGTGTCTGTCAGTATCGCTCTAAAGACTTGTTCAAACCTCCACGAAAGCCTACATTAGGTACCTGATGTACCGGTACCTATGAGGAGCTTCTCGGCCGCAAGCTCTAGGACACGTCAAATGTCGCTATGCTGACGCTGCGTTGCAAATTTGACATTGGTGGCTTAGTTGGCCGAATGCTACGTTCTAGACAAGGGGAACTCGCCCAACTTGTCTACCAGCCTATGCGACAACGACTTTATATTGCGCTTCCTGCAGCATACCGTCCGGCCGTCGACATTCCTTGCTCCGTCGTGGTTGAGGGATATATATCAAGTGACTTGGTGGCGCGTTCACTTGATTATGCCCTCTCAAAGCCGCTCATGCTACACCCTCAGGCGTCTCGTCTGCACGGCTTGACTGGGAATAATATAGGATGTCAGTGGCGACGCGAAAACATGATGATGAATGTCAGATATGATAGCGAGAACCAGGTTTTGAACGAAGCGCAAGCAACCACCAAGACGTGCGCATTGCAGCTTGCCAATGCTGTCTGCCTGCTCATGCACGAGTAGGTAGCTCACGTGAAGCTATCCATTGGCTCTTGAAGTATGCATAGAACGACAGACTGCAATTGACAGGCACGATCTGCAGATCTTAGACTCAGGTGCAGACTGTAAGCTAGATCCTCTCGGTGAGCAGAACGGTGTACGGGAAGAGTCGGCATCGCTTCGCCAGCGATGAACTGGGGTGTCGGTGGTCTGTCGCCAAGTAGAATGCTTTCACAACAACTTCAAAGTCCGTTCTTCCAGCTTATTTTAGTATAAGTTATTCACTCGGACTATTGAGAGAGCCATTCTACTCAGCAATCAATGGTCGTGTCTCTCATGACAGGTTTAGCCTGCTGCTTTTATGGACGTTACTCTTAAGTATTAGTGCGTTCTTAAAAGCACCAGAACTGTGAAATGCGGGCAAAAGGGGTAAAGCTGTCAAGCAAGCAAACGGCTCATATCATGCGCTTATATCTCTTGGATTCTTGTGTCTCAATGCCAGACGTTTCAGTGTCTCTCAGAAAGTACAAGTCTGTCCTTTCAACCATCCAACCGATAGTGTTGGTGTTGAAGTTGACTTCGAGTTGGTGGTTCGCTCCTTGCGAAGCCCCATGTGGATGGCACTCACATTTTATGAGCCAACACAAACCGCGGTCAACCGGGCTCTCTACTAGGTACGAGCAGGCGAGATCCCAGACCTGTGTGATATCAAAGACTCGAACTGAAATCACAGCAAATCATGTGTCCGGGTATAGTGGAATACACTGGAGGAATGTTTCTAATGTTCCCATCGCTTGCCCCTCCTTCTCTATTGGTTGTAGTTTTGTAAATAAATCAGTTGTTTCGTTAACAAAAGTACCAGTATTGCCCCTCATTGTGGCTGAAGCTCCAACGTCGTCGCCTGCCTCCAAGCCTGTTTGGGGAGGTGAATATGTTCCCCATGGCATACGAGATTATTTACAGACTGGGGAATTATTTCCACAGGTCTCGTGGCCAGCAGAAGTGGCTTCCAACATAATGGCCAATCGTCACAGTCAAAAGAAAGTCAAGCCACGGAGCGCCACGATAGAGAAGCTCCTGGCCTGTGCATAGAGAGCCGCTCCCCTGTTCAAATAACGAACCTCCGTCTGCGGCTTGTGTGGCTCTTCCCCGCTGCTGGCGGCGCCTGAACACAGTTGTCGTCTGCTCATCCACTGCACCTGCCTCATCAGTGACCAATGACCAGTGCGGCACCATCTCGACTCCTCATGCGGGTTTCATCCATTTCCGCCCTCCAAAGGCTGACATCTTTGCGAGCTACTTCTTCTTTATTTCACACTTCTCCCAAGACTTTGAGACCTAGAAATCACTTCCCCTTGCTTGCGAAACCCTGCCGGCAGAGATTTTCCACAATGAACGCTCAGGAGCTCAAGCACTACCTGGCTGACGCGCCGCCGAGCGTCGTCCGTTTGGAGATTGAGAAGCACTTTGAACCCCTCACCGACAAGCAGAAGCGCTATGCGCATTTCATCAGCAAGTAAGAACCCCGTTATGATGCCATGTCATCCTTGGTGTTAGCTATGCCAAGCTTTTATGGGGGAGCGGAAGCTAAAGGACATGTTAGAGCCTCGTTTGCGGGAACCCGTATTGTGCTCAGACAACTTTCTCCAGAGTCAGAGCCCATCTACGACTTCATCATTGCCTTACACAAGAGCAGTGGTGGTGACTGGAATAGCCTTGCCAAGAAGGCTGGTGTCGATGAGAGCCAACTGACCCACTTCCTGGAGTATGCTGCCCAATTCTTGGGCAACAATGGCAACTACAAGAGCTTCGGCGATGCCAAGTTCATCCCTAGAGCCGATGAGAAGACTTTCGCGGCCCTTGCTGCTACCTCTCCTGAGGCTGAGCGCTTCTACAAGGCGACCAACGGTGCCATCTTCAGCTCTGACAAACAGGCGCTGATGCACCTTGGATTCCCTGACAAGGGTCACATGACTACCTACTACCCCGATTCGCCTCACATTACCCAGGAGGAGATCGAAGCCGTGTCCGCCTGGATGGAGAAGAAGGGCCTTCTCCCCGAGAACAACCGTCTCCGCAAGACCAAGGAGGGCACTTTCGAAATTCTCATTGCCTCGGCTGTCACGAGCGTTCCCGCTGAAGGCGGTGACATTGGCAAGGAGACTGAGTTCCAGGTGGAGGATGGTCTTCTCAAAGGCAAGACGATCAAGCTGGTATACGGCGACTATGCCGCTGAGATGAAGGCTATTTCCGAGTATATCACAAAGGCGCAGGAGAATAGCGACAACGAGAACCAAGCAAAGATGCACGAGGCATACGCGAAGTCTTTCTCAAGTGGCTCCCTCCTCGCATTCAAGGACAGCCAGAGATTCTGGATCAGAGACAAGGGCCCTATGGTTGAGTCAAACATTGGTTTCATCGAGACCTACAGAGATCCCGCTGGTATTCGTGGCGAGTGGGAAGGCTTTGCATCTGTGGTCAACCTGGAGCGTACCCGCGCCTTTGGCGCTCTCGTATCCGCTGCGCCCGAACTGATTCCCCTCCTCCCGTGGAGCAAGGATTTCGAGAAGGACAAGTTCTTGTCGCCCGACTTCACATCACTCGAGGTTCTGACCTTTGCCGGATCTGGAATTCCTGCTGGAATTAACATCCCCAACTACGATGACATTAGGCAGACTGAGGGCTTCAAGAACGTTTCTCTCGGCAACGTTCTGAGCGCCAAGGCTCCCAATGAGAAGATCCCTTTCATCTCCGAAGCCGACTTGGAGTTGTACCACAAGTACAGGGACCCTGCTTTTGAGGTGCAGGTTGGCCTTCACGAGTTGACTGGCCACGGCTGCGGCAAGCTTCTTCAGGAGACCTCTCCCGGAACCTACAACTTTGACGAGAAGAACCCTCCCGTCAGCCCCTTGACTGACAAGCCCGTGACCACATGGTACAAGCCCGGACAGACATGGGGATCCGTATTCGGTAGTCTTGCTGCTTCATACGAGGAGTGCCGCGCTGAGCTCGTCGCTATGTACCTTGGGTATGTATCCTGCAACCGGCTGTGAAGAAACACCTGACTAATCTGGGCATAGATGCGAGTTCCCCGTTCTTAAGATCTTCGGCTTCGGCGACGGAAGCACCGACATCAACAACGAGGCTGGCAACGTCCTGTATGCTGCGTACCTCCAGATGGCCCGCGCCGGTCTTGTGTCCCTGGAGATGTGGGATCCCAAGAGCCAAAAGTGGGGCCAAGCGCACTCGCAGGCTCGCTTCTCTATCCTGCAGGTTGGTGACAATGACGTACGCTTATGAATGCCCAAATGCTGACTTATCACTCTCTGCAGTGCTTCCTCCAGGCTGGCGACGACTTCTGCAAGCTGGAGTACAAGAAGGATGATCTGTCCGACTTGGAGATCAAGCTTGACCGTTCAAAGATTCTGACCACTGGTCGTGAGGGTATGTTGTTCCCAATCTCGTGACGCGCACTTTAGGGCACATCAATGCTGACTGACAATTGGCAGCCGTTGGAAAGTATCTTCAGAAGCTTCACGTGTATAAGGCCACCGCTGATGTCGAGAACGGCACCGCCTTCTACAAGGAGATGACCAACGTGGACATGGACTTCTGGGGCACAAAGGCCAGAAACGTCGTCCTGGCCAACAAGCAGCCCCGCAAGGTCTTCGTCCAGGCCAACACCTACCTCGACGAGGCCACCGGCAAGGTCAGCATCAAGCACTACGAGGCGTCTCCGGCAGGTATCATCCAGAGCTGGGTCGATCGTGACTTGTGACTAAGCCCAAAGTCCGAGACGGCCAAACTGTGAGAGGCTGGCTGTGAAGAGAATGAAAGGGGTCCCTGCATCAACCATAATAAACCTTGTAATACCATGCTCCTAAAAGGGGCCAGAACATTCAAAGTTTCGTAGACCATTCGCATAAAGTGAAGCCCAGTGGATGCTGTTTGAACGTTTCCGAGATTTTCGTCAGGCTCCTTGCATCAAATCTTGACATCATCCACTTTAGTCATCACGAGTCGAGGAAGTGCAGTGTATGGTTCATGTCAAATATTGTCATTCCCTCGTAAAGGGGGAGGCACGTCGTCGTTGGACCGGATGCGTTATCTTCTTTGTGTGTTGGATTTGTGAAGAACCTCATTACAGACGCCAAATGTGACCGATGCCGTCGACTTCCAAATGCAATTGGCAAAACCAGCCCAGCCCGTGTAGCCATAAGTTCTTCGTCGTCTACAACAACATTCCTCAAACCGTTGCGAACTGGGCGTAAAAAAATGTGTGGTTCTTCTTTTTTTGATCCCAATTGACTTTGTCCCCTTCCTTTTCCACGGAGTCTCTATGTCCACATCATCCGGAAGCCTTGATTTTTGAAACGACCAGCGACGAAGAGAGCAAACCCCCGAAAAGCCCACACGCCAAACGAAACCTCCCTCTCAACAGCTTTTTTGGTGTAGGAAAAAAACTGTTTACCAGGTCATCTCGTGGGGCTTGTCGCCCTTGCGCAGGCTGAAGGAACTCGCCAGGTAGGAGGCGAGCATGTCGACCTTCTTGATGCTGGCGAGCAGGGCCTTGTCGACGGCCTTCTGGTCGGCGGCACGGCTGCTGTTGATCTCCTTCTTCTGTAGAAACACATGTACTGTCAGTCTCCCGTTTCCATTGTATTCAACCTGGATCTGGATGTCCCAGAAGATGTAATCGTACCTCAGGCTTCTCTCCCTGCTTGAAGAAAGCGTCCTCGCCAACCTGCTTCTTGGCCTTGTCGGCGGTGAAGTACTTGGGTGCGGAGATCTCCTCAATCTTCTTGGACTCAACGCCGGAGACGTCGACCTTGTAGGATGTGGCGATGACGTAGCGGGAGTTGACGCGGCGGAGGGGAACGCCGTTGATCTTGAAGGGACCGGTAACGAGAAGGACACCCTGGTCGAGGGTCTTCAGGAGAACGACGCGCTTGCCGCGGAAGCGGCCAGCGAGGAGGATCAGGATGGTACCGGGCTGGAGGGTCTGGCGGGGAGCCCAGGGGCGGACGGCCTTGCGGACCTAGTGACAATCGTCGTCAGTATCGCCGTCGCCAGTTTTCAAGATTTTTTGTGCGTGTTGCTTGCAATTCGACATTTGTGATAAAGGGGGCCATGTCATTCCGCAGATCACGAGCGTCTTCTTCCTCCATGCCTCCAATTCATTGTGTGCGTTGGTCGATTTTGCGATTGGTTGTTGTGCCCGTATTGAGTGTTGTCTCCCTCCTGCAATCTCTTGGCTGTCCCGACTTGGGACTCTTGAAGTTTTGCGTCGTAATTCGAAAAAATTGTTGCGCTCGCTTTGTCGTGTCCTCCCAATTACATCCCTAGCCCGAACTCGTGACCGCTCTCGAAATGACATTTCCCTCCTTCCATCGCACATGCGCAGAATTCCAAGCAGCGCCAGCACGCAGATGTAGTAAACTCACCTTCTTGGCCTCGGGCTCATCGTCGGCGTTGTACCACTTCTGCGCCTTCTGGGAGGGGGCGGGGACGACCCGAGTCGACGAGCCGAACTTCTTGGTCGTGGATTCCGTCTTCGCCGACATGGTTGCTCTCGGTCCTCGTGGAGGGCTGTTGTGGTTAGCGGAGAATGGGGATCGTGAACGAAAAAGAAGGAAGTGGTTGATCTCGTTCGAGAGGCTTTGGTTGTTGGGGTCGGGTCGGCGGGAAATCGATTTCTCAGAAAATGTCTAGCGAGTGTGGGCGGCGGGTGTGGAAGGCAAGCCCTCCGCTAGTCCGGATTAGGCAGAGTGCATGCGGCAGAAACCTCTGCACTCTCTGTAGACGCGGGCGGTAAGCCAGGGCCCCTTCCCATACCGACAATTTCCAACGGGAGATTGTGCGCCCGATTTTCCGGGGCCAGACCCCCAGGGCCCACTGATCGGTCTGCTTCCCAGCTCAGGGCCGGAGTCGGATGTCACTGGACGTCAACAACCTCGAAGAAGCAGCACGTAACTCCCTCTCTTGCTAATCCCTAGGTGGTGGGTGAGCTGTTGATTACCCGAAAAAATATCAGTATTCAAGAGCTCTCATTCAGGTATTTTCTTGACCCCGTCAAACACAGCCTCTGTCCCATGAATGTAGTTCTACTGAGTAGTCAGAAGACTGCCTACCTATGATGGGCAAAGAGCGTTGGCGGTATTCGCATTTCGTCATGCGCATGGGCCACGTGCTGATAAGATAAAGCTTCGGAACATGCTAGACCTCAGCGAAAGTGCGAGAATGTACTTGTGAAATCTTCCGACTTCGTGACTTGACAACACTAGGGGGTTGCTCAAAGGATATTTGAAGCCGTGTACTTGTCTCTCTTTAGCTTGTTGTACAATTGTCATATTGGAACGACTTTTGTAACACCTGGCATTGACCAGTAGTCACAATGCAAGCCAGAAGACAACTCATCTCATCCGCCCGGCGTATCGTCGGGTCATCGTCACCCAGACCTACACGACTAATCTCAAGAGCCATCATCAACGAATCTGCTGCACTCAGAAGCAGTAGCAGGCTTCTACCAACGATAGCCATAAGGACTTATGCAAATGGAAGACCTCATCCTCCAGGCGGTACACACCGCATGAACATGGGTGGCGAGCCAGAGAAACCGGCACTCGAGCAATTCGGAATCGACCTGACGGCGAAAGCCAAGGAGGGAAAGCTCGACCCTGTCATTGGACGCGACGCTGAAATCCAACGAACTATTCAGATTCTATCACGGCGGACAAAAAATAATCCTGTCGTCATTGGCAAAGCCGGCACCGGCAAGACAGCCATCCTCGAAGGCCTTGCACTGAGAATTGTGCGTGGCGACGTCCCGGAGAGCATCAAGAATAAGCGTGTTATCGCCCTGGACCTAGGCTCGCTGATTGCGGGCGCAAAGTTCAGGGGAGACTTTGAAGAGAGACTGAAAAAGGTCTTGACCGAGGTCCAGCAGGCAGAGGGCGAAGTCATCCTCTTCATCGATGAACTGCACACATTGCTCGGCCTCGGCAAGGCCGAAGGATCGATCGATGCGAGCAACCTGCTGAAGCCAGCACTTGCGCGTGGTGAACTTCAGTGCTGCGGTGCAACTACATTGGAGGAGTACCGCCTTATCGAAAAGGACGTTGCCCTTGCCCGGAGATTTCAGCCTATTATTGTCAACGAACCCACCGTCCAGGACACAGTTAGCATCCTGCGCGGTATCAAAGACAAGTACGAAGTCCACCACGGTGTCCGCATTACCGATGGTGCCCTGGTGGCAGCCGCTACCTACTCTAACCGCTATATCACCGACCGATTCTTGCCCGACAAGGCAATCGACCTGATGGACGAGGCTGCCAGTCATCTCAAGCTCGAGCATGAATCGAAACCTGAAGACATCATGGCCCTCGACCAGAAGATCATGACCATTCAGGTTGAACTCGAAAGCTTGCGCAAGGAAAAGGACGTGGCCAGTCAAGAGCGTCGCGACAAGCTGCAGACGGACCTGAAGAAGTACGAAGACGACATCGCTGAGCTTACCAAGCGCTGGGAGGCTGAACGTGGCGAGATCGAGGCCGTCAAGAAGACTCAGGAGGAGCTCGACAAGGCCAGAATCGAGCTGGACCAGGCACAGAGAGAAGGAAACTTCGGCCGCGCGTCTGAGTTGAGATACAGCGTCATCCCCGCCCTTGAGCAAAAGATTCCCAAAGATGGCGAAAAGTCAGACGGCAGCCTTATTCACGATGCCGTCACTGCGGATGACATCGCAGCGGTCGTTTCAAAGGTGACGGGCATTCCAATTTCCAAGCTTACCTCTGGCCACATTGAGAAGCTCGTGCACATGGAAGATTCCCTGCGTGAGGCTGTCCGCGGCCAGGACGAGGCAATCAAGGCCGTCTCCAACGCTGTGCGCCTCCAGCGTGCCGGTCTCAGCGGCGAGAATAGGCCGTTGGCGTCCTTCTTCTTCCTGGGACCGACTGGTGTCGGAAAGACGGAGCTCTGCAAGAAGCTCGCGGGCTTCCTCTTCTCTACCGAGTCGGCGGTTGTCCGGTTTGACATGAGCGAATTCCAGGAGAAGCACACCATCTCGCGCCTCATCGGAGCGCCCTCCGGCTACGTGGGCTACGAAGATGCCGGCCAGCTCACCGAGGCCGTTCGCCGCAAGCCTTACGCCGTCCTCCTTTTCGACGAGTTCGAAAAGGCCCACCGCGACATCTCTGCCCTCCTCCTTCAAGTCCTCGACGAGGGCTACCTCACCGACGCCCAGGGGCACAAGGTCGACTTCCGCAACACCATCATCGTGCTTACATCCAACCTCGGCGCAAACATACTCGTCGGCGCGGACCCCATCCACCCGTACAAGGAGACGGCTGACGGCGAGATCGACCCTTCCATCCGGAAGGCTGTTATGGACGTCGTGGCTGCGAACTACCCGCCAGAGTTCCTCAACCGCATCGATTCCTTCATCGTCTTCAAGCGCCTCGCCCTCGGCGCACTTCGGGACATTGTCGACATCCGCCTACGGGAGCTGCAGCAGCGACTCGACGACAAGCGCATCATACTCGACGTTGGCGGCGAGGTGCGAGATTGGCTCGCGGAGCGCGGCTACGACCCCAAGTTCGGCGCAAGACCGCTCAACCGCCTCATCACCAACGAAATTGGCAATGGGCTTGCGGACAAGATCATCCGCGGCGAGTTGCGCTCCGGTGAGACGGCGGTTGTCAGTATCAATGAGGATAATTCGGGCCTGAAAGTTGCGGCTCAGTCAAAGGCGTGAAAAGGGGATCATCTAATTACGACATGTACCACTACTTTGTTTTGAGTCATTGTTTAGGCGCACGGAGTACATGTAAGGAAAAGGCTGGATTCCCCTCTCTCGAAAGTGTCTGTCAACTACCATTGTAGCATTGCTGTAACGCCGCATAAGACTGTAAAATCACAGATAGACCGTATTTATACGTGCATTCTACTCACAAGTTCCACCCCGTAACCCACGGACAATACTCGTTCTCGATCCTACTCATCTAGTGAGCCTGTGCACTTATAACCCACCTTTCACGAGTAGCCATTTGTCCTCTTGAGTCGCATCTGCCTACATCCCATCCCTGTGACGTCGAGTACCCACACCCACGCGTCCAAGACAGCATTCCACAAAGGGGCTCTGCGGTAAGACGGCGTTGAAGCGTACGCTTTAAGAGGGGGGGCTAGAATTCTAGGCTGAGGATGCCGCGAGACATTTCCCACAAAGGGGCCTTTCAAGGAATGGAGGGGTTGGGACGGCGGCAGCACCAAAAAAAAAAAAAAGAACGTTATCGCATATCCCGTGGCACCATGAAACTTTGTGAGAAAAAAAGGAAGACAAGTCTATAACGATTCTGTCCCAACTCTCAAGGCTAGAACTACCTGAACCCCCTCCATACCTAACAACAAAGACGACAAACTGGAGGAAAGCAGGGCGAACCACCCCTCATAGGGGGACTGACCAGTCATGAAGAAAATCGTTAAGCCCAGGTCTCATCCCTTCCCCTACCGAGAATGGTGGGCAAACCAGACCATCAAAAGAGCAGAAAACACCGTCTTCATGGAATTGTGCGGAGGCGAGAAAGCCAGGGTGTTCATGAGTAGGCTTCTCCGTCACATTTGGACGGAGAAGCGTATAGAGTTGCTGCGTGAGGACTGTACAGATTTCCCAACCCAAGACGCCCCCTTTCTTCCAAAACGAAACTTGTCCTTTTGAGACCAGAATGTGTGTGCTTGCTGCGTCGAGAATGCCAATGGAGTGTGGCTCACGTGATGTCAGGGACCACCATGGGGAGGAGGGGATGGAAGGACGAGGAAATGCGAGAAAATGAGTTATGGACTATTCGATTGCCTTGTGACCGGTAGCTTTGCGAATTACAACCGTACCAGAGGGATGACGTGAAAGAGTAGCAGAAGAGAGGTAGTCCGTTCGGCTTCTCTTCGCGGCATTTACTGGTGACCCGCCTTGCGCAGGGTGGTGGCAAGCCACTCGAGACCCTCGTAGAGACCATCACCGGAGGTAGCGCAAGTGGACTGGATGTACTATTGGGGGGATTAGTATGAGAGTCGTAGTTCGTCATGCTCGAGGGAAAACATACCCAGGCGCGTTGTCTCAGGGAGTGAAGGCCAAGCTTGTCTGTGATCTCGGCGGCGTTCATGGCGTTCTGTAGAAGAAAAGGTCAGTCGCATGCTTTGAGTTGATGAAGCCTCAAGGAGCGCCGAAGTAGGGGGGAGGGGGTGGTGGGGTAACATACGGGCAAATCCTGCTTGTTGGCGAAGACCAGGAGAATGGCATCCCGCAGCTCGTCCTCGTTGAGCATGCGCTGGAGCTCCTCACGGGCCTCGACGATACGGTCGCGATCGTTGCTGTCGACGACGAAGATGATACCCTGGGTGTTCTGGAAGTAATGTCTCCACAGAGGACGAATCTTGTCCTGACCACCGACATCCCACACGGTGAACTGGATGTTCTTGTACTCGACGGTCTCGACGTTGAAACCTGAAAGGGCGGAATGTTAGCACGCCATTCGCCTCCTCGATGCATTGACCTATCGACAGCGGGGGCGCGAGATTCGATGATGACAAGAGGCAGAATAGGGTGGTAAGGGGTGGTGCGTACCAATGGTAGGAATGGTCGTGACGATTTCACCGAGCTTGAGCTTGTAGAGAATCGTAGTCTTTCCGGCGGCGTCAAGACCGACCATCAGAATTCTCATCTCCTTCTTTCCCCAAAGCTTGTCGAAGATCTTGGAAAATGCGAGACCCATGGTTGCGGTTCGGGCTGTGATGAACGTCTAAGTGTCGGTTGCGTTGGGTAGGAAGAAGTAATCTGTTGAGGAGCGACAGTGTAAGCAAGCGCGCAATTGATGAATTTAGATTAAATGGCAGTGACGTCGAGAGAAGATGCGGGCGGGATATAAATCAACGAAGAGAGCACAGTCGGAAAGGACAGATCGTAACGGAGGCGGGCAGGATCGGGTCACTGACCAAAGTCTGCCTGGGCGCTGAGCGAAGGCAAGAAAGATGATGCGATGATGAACTGGTCAAGGTTGGAGTTGAGAACCAGGCTGCCGCAATTCGCAAATGGAGGAGAGGAGATAGCGGGATAGAAGAAGTGGATGTGGACAGGCGACGTGGAGGGAGGGAGGGATAGGGATATTGGATTGGGTTGGGGGGCGTGTGGTGGGCTGCTCTGCCTTTCTACTGTATCCTGAGGTGTCGTGTCCAGACCGATGCAGGCACGCGCGCAAGAGCAACTTTGGCCGAGGGGGTGGGAAAGGGGACTGAGGGGGACGAAGAACCGACTGAAGATGACACAGAGGCTGGAAAGAAAGGGACGGAGTCGAAACAAGAACAGGTGATGACGAGAATACTAGTGACTTACTTCTTCACGAAGTCCCTCTGCGACGGGAGACTGGAGACGAGTGGTGGTGGTTTTTTTTGGTCGTGGGTGTGATTGTCGGTGAAGGGGGGGAGACAGTCCAAGTGTCAAGAGGATTAGTTTAGGTGGGTGGAATAGAGGCGAGCAGAGGGGGTGGGCTTTGCTAAGATAATCTTCGGCTCAACGAGGTTGGTGGTGATTTTCAGAAAGGCCATGTTTTTCAAACTCTGTGTCCCCACTTCTACTCGACCACCGCTACAAACGGACGCCACCCTGTGGCCCGCTGAGGTACCTTCCCTAGCAAGCTACTGTCTGGCAATACTTGCCCTTGGGATTCCTAAAACTGCCCACGCTGTCATGTTCCATAAGGTAAGGTACCTAAGGTACCTCAGGTTGCGTGCTGAGGGCCCCAAGCCAAGCTGGGCACAGACCATAAGATAGGTTAAGGCAGGCCACTCGAAGCTCCCTGTTGGCTCCCTTCTAGCGTTGTCAACCGCTAAAGGGCCCTTCTGAAGCACAAAGTACCCGCATCACGTGCAGGGGTCGGCTTCAATGTACCGTGAGAAACAAAGTCGGAAAAGCATCGGTCCATTACGTCTGGCCCCCCGAGCTAGACTTCTTTTGGCTCAGCCTCAAGTCCAACCAGACGTCGCCAAAGTGTCCAGACTCAAGGAACAGGGATCACCTCCAGGAACCGATCTGGAGAACAGCCTGGACACAAGCCAACGTCGCTCCTTTTTTCCTCCGGCCCTGACCTCTACCATTCGACTCCAGAACAGCTCGACTCTGCTGTGCCTGCCGACCAGCTTGAGTCTGACGTCTTTTCGTATCGGCCACGACAGAGAGCTCTTACACCACCCTGAGGAAAAAAAGATTGGAAGCTCCCGCCATGTTCTTCCCTTCAGTCGCCAAGCTGCTCCTCGCAGCTGGCTTCGTCCACTCGGCCTTGGCCCACAACATCCAGCTGCCCGCCCACGGCCGCGAGTGCTTCCACGAGTCGCTGCACCGCGATGACAAGATGACCGTCACCTTCCAGGTCGGCGACCGCGAGTTTGGCAGCGCCGGCAACCTAGACATTGACTTCTGGGTACGAATCCAGCTCCAACCTACCCCACCACCACCCCCTTTCGAATCGCGTACTTTGCGCGCAATTGCATCATGGCAAAGGCAACAAGACTAACGATTGACTCCCTACGCCCATAGATCACGAACCCCCAAGGCCAGTACGAGACCTTTGACAAGAGTGTCTCCAACGGCGACTTCTCTTTCGACGCGAAGCACGACGGCAAGTACACCTACTGCTTCGGAAACGAGCACTGGGGCGCCCACAGCAAGGAGGTCTCCTTCAACGTCCACGGCATTGTCTACGTTAGCGAAACCGATGTCCCTGCCGACCCCCTCGAAGTTGAAGGTAAGGAGCACGCCAGCGCAATGGGTTTTATCAGTGGGGTTTCTAGGCTTCTCTAACACTTCCTCGTTATAGTCCGTCACCTTTCCGAGCTTCTCGCCCAGGTCAAGGATGAGCAGTCCTACATTGTCCTTCGCGAGCGCACTCACCGTAATACCGCCGAGAGCACCAACAGCAGAGTCAAGTGGTGGAACCTGTTCGTCATTGGTCTCGTCGTTGGAGAGTCCGTCTTCCAGGTGTGGTGGCTTCGCAGATTCTTCGAGGTCAAGAGGGTAGTTTAAGAATAAAAAGGCGTCGTCATTTTTCGTTTTCCGGATACCCGTGCTGGGGACGACAGGTCGAAGGCGCACAAAAAAGGGATGGGATCTTGGCAGGACACTCTTCGAGACCCGAATGCCAACAACACTCCTGGAGATGAGATTGAGATGTATAGTGTATCATAGATCACATGAATGACACGAATGGTTCTGAACATGAAGCAAGGCTTGGCTATTTTGATATGGAGTGCAATACCGGCGAACCTTTGAGCGTCTTTGACCACAAGACTCCTCACAGAGTCTTTATTCTCAGCCTTGGAGCACCATTGGCATTGTCTAAGCATCTACATAACAACAATTGGCAGACAAGCTCGTTACTCGAGAGGAAATATTTGTGTTACAACATCCACACAGGAAGCCGGAACCGGCCAGCATTGTTCGTGCGTGCCATGTGGGATTACAGGAGGTTTCCATCCATGACACCAATGCCACCGGAAGCCGTCTAAATACCCCATCTACGGATTCATTAGGCACAGCTGTGATGGCACTTGTGTAGTCCTTGTGACTCACACGAAATCACAGTCTGGGTTTCCTCTATGAGAATGTACTTGGATGACCTCCTCTAAGATTGCGCTACGAGGCAGGCTGCCATAAACGAGCTCGAATTCACCACCGTGTCCAGAAGCTAACATACCGTTGCAATAACTGTCTCACCTATGGATGACACAAGGTACCGTTTTGCTACGCTGCCAAAAGTCAGTTCGAAGCGACGAGATGGGACGGTGACTGACCGGCTGCCTAGGGAAAACTTCACAAGGCAACAACTTCACAAAAGAACAAGTGGTCATTTTACTGAATCGAATTGTGATGCAAGATTTTTGCTAGCCATCCTATGTGGCCATCATGACTCCCTCTAACCTGACAGTCATTATGTACATCATACATCATGTATACGGCAACGCATTAATGCCTTTTCCTACAATAGCCACGAGTCCATCTCGTAAGCCTCAAAAGTATGCGTTATAGAATCCAACAAAGCTAACCCCAAGACGCCGTACCATCTGTATGTCCCAAATGTAGCCCTTGAAATAAGAGCAAAACAACACCAAGTGCAACGCAAATAGGTCATGCTTCATACACCTCCAAAGTCGCCTCCTCATGTTCATGCGTTCGGATCAGACTCAGGAACGCTCTCCTTTGTCTCTTCGGGTATCTTCTCCACGGGAATATCAACTCCCTTGACAGGATGAATGAGCATTGGAGGCAGGCACATACGGCCCTCACCACCACGCATCTGGCCAACACTGGACCCATCCTTGCTCAGATCTTCCGTCTTCTCGAACTCCTCGCCACCATCATTGTTGACTTTGAGGCCGAGCCAGCGACGGTACAGATTCGGAGCAAAGCCCGAGTTGTAGAACCAGCTGAGACCACGAAGGTTGTGCTCACGCTGACCAAACACTGCAGTGCGAGCACCACCGCTAGCTCCGTTCTTGCCGCCGTTGAGAACCTGGGCCAAATATTCCGTGGGCCATTCTCTGTCGACATACATGGGATGAGGCGCAAATACTGCCTTGTAGCCGTGCTGGAAAGCGACGGTAACAGGCCACATTTCTGGGAAGGCAAAGTGCTTCTTGAAAGCAGTCTCGCGGTGCATCGTCATGAGCAAGCGGCGGGACATGCGCGAAGCCGTGATGATGTGTGCTCGTCTAGGCGGCATAGGCTCGTCCCGGTTGTTCTTGTTGTATCCAGTAATGTCCTCTGATAGCAACCAAGTGGTTCCCTCAGGATCGAAGATGGGGTTGAAGGCAATGTAGTCGGCTTCTTCGCCGACACCCCAAGTGTACTTGTCCTTCTCGTACGTGGTAGGCGGCTTAGGGTCGTTCTCGATCTCGAACCAGTCATCCTCATTGGTAGGGCGCTCGGGTCCCCAGATGGTCTTCTCGCCTCTAGTAATCTTGGTGGGATCTTGGTTCTCCTTAGGCTTCGCGCCAGGAATGTTCTTCCACACGTTATCAGCGCCATCTGTTCCCATCTCAGACTGCACACGGGCCATCTGTCTGAAGTCCTCCCAGGAACCGTGGACGCTGGGGATGTAAAATCGAGAGTTGCGCTCCCACATTCCCTTTCGCGGTTGCTCCTTGCCCCAGTTCTCCATCTTGGAGAAGAGATCATAGTAGTGGCCAGTGTAGCGGATGTCCATCTCCCAGGACCAGTAAAAGTCGTACTCAGGGTGCTGGTAGCCGAAGTATTGCATAGCCATAGTAAGGCCACGGTAAACTCCGTGAACTGGCAAGTCAGGTCCACGAGTGTAGAGATCGAAGATGCCCTGGTACAGAGACAACATCTGCGTCTCTGTCCACAGCGTGACCAGGCCTCTGAACTCCTCGGGAATGCGCTCCTTGATACGGCGTTCATAAACCTCGTGATCGGCCCAGACGGGGTGTGCTGCGTCGTTCTTGATCTGAACGAGGAGATGGACATCGTAGCGTCCGCCTGAAGCCAGTGCCAATTCGGAAATGACCGAGCGAACGTTCATAATATCCTCCTCGCGCCAGTTGTACTCGTCCCAAACACGGATTACTACAGCTGTACGGGACATCTTTTCCTTGGGCTTTTGCTCCTGGTCGGCTTTCGTATCTGACTGGGTGGCTTTGGCGCCGGGCTCCAAGTTGTCGAGAGGATCGCGCGTCACCAAGGTGGCATTTTGAGCAGGCTCGTCGACGAAGAAACCACGTGCGGCGGGGGTCTTGGGGGGCATCGGCTTGAATCTCTCGTTGTTTGACTGGTAGCACCGGCGCTGAGCGTCTGCCCAATCGACTTGCCGCCAGTCCACCTGAGGGGTCTTCTCCCACACAGCATCGGAACCTTCCTTTTCGCCGTGCTCGCCAATTCCGAGACCTCCAGCAGGGACGGAGTACCCAAAACCATAGGGCGCGTAGCGTCCGAATCGTTCGTAGCAGATATCTTCAGGCAAGTTGAGTAGATCGTAAGAACCTTCGACGTGCTGGGGGAAACCTTGAGGGCGGCCTTCCAGGTAACGAATAGGCGGGACGTGAACTTTGTTGTCCTTGTCGATGAAGCATTCGTTCATCTTCTCAGGCTTTGTCACGAAAATGGAGCCAGGGTGGTCGATGAACTCCTTGCTCTTGGGCACAGCGCGTCTGACGGCATCGTCCTTGCCATCCTCACTCGTTGTGGTGACGGTGGTGTTGATGTCGAGCTGGTCCAAGGGAAGTTCGTCTGAGGAGCGGGGGTACGAGGGGATGTACTTGGAAGGGGCGACTATAGATCGAACACCTCCGTAGTATCTTTGAATGAAGCCAAAGGACTCCCATACCGGCGGAGGGTCTGGCTTCTTCTCTACCTTGCCCTCGATGATCATCTTGTTCTCAACGTGACTTGCGCGTACCAGAGACATGATCATGACCACCATGAACGTAAGCAGTCCTAAGCATAAGTATCGGATGATTCGGTTTGGGAAGCGGTAAAGGTGGGTACGCGGGCGGCGGGCTGTCGCGAGAGCCCGCTTCGGGAGCATCATGGCTGCGCTCGAGAGCGATCCTGAAGTCTGCCGTGAGCTCTTCGCACTCGGCGAGGAGGATGTCGAGTAGTCTTCCGATTCATCGTCGGACGAGTAATAGTCGTCGTCATCGTTTGAGAGGCGCTCCTTGGTGCGCAGAGGACTGAGCTGCTCGTATTTTGGTAATCTGCCCGTGCGGTTCTCGCGAGACCGCAATGGGTTTGAAAAAACACCCATTCTTGGTGCTGGATTGGAGTCTTGAGGTTCCCAGAGTTAGTTTCTGGGGCAGACAGAGACGACAATAGCGGTGTCAGTCGGTGGTTGCTTACCACGAGAAACCCGTGAACACCTCCAAGTGCTGTTGGTAGAGGCCCGGTGGACGGGCGTGGCGGCTCTCCTGACACTCGCCTGGGTGTAAACGATTCGCGTAATACTACAGAAAGACCTGTGAGGTTTCCGGTAAAAGTTGTCGTAGAGTATAGTATACAGCAAAGGCGAAGTCGGTAGTATTGGGTGAAGATGGGAAATGAATGCTTTGGACAGAATAAAGTAGAGGTCGCAAGCCAAAAAGATGGGGATGAGGTTCGGGGGCACGGTGCTAGGGCATCATATGGAAATGAAGCGCAGCAGGGGAACGAACGACGGAGGTTAGTTTGGGCCAACAGAGTCCACCTCGAGTAATATGGATCTATCAATGTTGGATATGAGCGACCCAGCGACCGCGGGACAACATGAGAAAAAAAGGCAGGAGCACAACAGCGAAAGACAACCTGAGAGAGGTACGTATTTCGTTGCTGCTAAGGTTGACCAGTGTGGTTCGGCAGTCCAAGTAACTACGTATTTTGGGTGGGATGCACACTGTGAAATGGTGTGTGTCGTCCTTGCTTTGAGCCTTCCATTTGAAGAGACGGGGGGAGTTCATTGTCTTTGTTGGACCGGGAAGGAGGGTGAGGGTGTGGAGCTGGTTCTTTCCTGGGCCCCCCTATCCGCGTCCCACGCCATCGCCACTAAAAAGAATGGATCTGATTGGGGAATTGGTGGGGGTCCCAGACGATGACTGGCCAACTACATGTTGCTCTGAGCAACGGGGGTGTTTAGGCGGTGACTTTTGGCAGAATTACGAACACTCCACTCCCCTCCAGCTTGTAGCCTTGCCCCTTCCCCCCGTCCTGTCTGTGCCAGGCTTTTTTTTTTCTTGCCTATTGGATGTTGACCAAGAAAGGTTCAAGGGCCGCAGCGCCGCACCGGGACCTTGGCCCAAAGCAGCGACGAACAAAATGCAAGATGCACGCCTGCCCTCTCCTGCTTTTTCTTCCTAGGCCCGCCGGCTACGACTGGATTCTAGGTGCGCGCCAATGCGGGTCGCCCAGAACTTGCAGGAGCACAGCAAGGGTTGTCGCCTTGGTCTCGACTTCCTCGCTAAAAGCTTGACTGGGGTCTCCCTGACAACCATTTTAACCAACTCCGGGACTGGTTGCCCGCTACGGTTCGGCTCCTTGAGTTGAAGGTGCGTTCCACTTCCCGTCCTCCTGCAATCCAGCAAATCCAAGACGCTCGAATTCCAAAATGAAGGATCCTGACACTGTCTGGACACTCCTCTTTCGAGCTTTGACCGTCTTTGGTCTCTTGGTCCATGGCATCACGATGAAAGAAGACAACTGACACCGACGCTGCTTACTTTACTGGGTTTCCAACTTGCAACTGACTAGGTGGCCAGGTAGGGATCACTCGCCGGCCCCCAATCGCAATTCGCACTCCGCTTCAGCCCACAGGAGGGATTGTCTGCAATTTGCAACTGCAGCCGATGAATGAATCAATCACAACCCGCGCCACATATGGAATCGTTTCCTGTCTTGTCGCAACTCTCATCTGACCTGCACAATGAGACTGGATGAAGCTGCAACAAGTTCGGACGCGCTGCTCTGTTTCGTCTCAGCCTCTCCTGAGCCCTGAGTCCTGCTCCAACGCTCTTGGCTGTCCCATGAGACATGGTCTCTCCATTATTCCGTGAGTGTACCTACAACTACCGGTCCGACTCGAGGGAGGCATTTCTTCAGCCAGCTTCAATCTCGAGCATGAATCTTGATCCATCCATGCACCCCGCAGTGTCTCCTATTGTATCTCCAAAAAAATCGACGTCATGCTGCCAAGCTGTTTGGTGAGGGAGGATGGATTCGAATTTCGAGCAAGACCACCAACGAAGAACGCCTATCCCTACGGACCGCGACTCATCACCTCATTTCAAACATTACCCAAAGAAAGCACCGATGCAGTGTGCCAGTGCGACAAAGGAGATTATCGCAATGAGATGCCATACCGATCCGCCAATCCGTCAATCGTGTCTCGCCGACTTTGCAGATTCCAGGAGAACAAATTTAGAACACGCCGAGATTTAGCAGGCGAATATCGATTTGCATACCCAGTTTTCATCTTGTCATGCATGTGGCTGAGGGCGGAAGTTGTTACGGTGCATCCCCGTACTGTGGTTGCGTTGTAGCACTAACAACGTACAGTGGTACGCTCGCTGTGTTCTCCGTACGTACAGAGAAAAAGTCGCCCTCCCAATGCAACCCCCTATCCATACCTTATGTTCATCCCTGATCAACACTACCTCCTGAACTCGTGGCTGCGAGGTGGTAGGTATTATACATTCACCCACTTAGTCCACCCAACTCCCAAGCCCTGCATAACGGCGTACCTATCTAATCGCTTCCAAAAGGCGCCGCATCGCTTAGATAGATTGGCGCTTTCCGATGGCAAGACCTTGACGCGTCCCGTCTTACCCAACACGGCCCGCAGCCGACAAGAATAGTCTCCCGGTCTCAGCAAACTTCACGACAACGGCAAGCCACATTCCTAATAGATTCATGCCGGTTCATGTACTGTGCCGTTTTCTCACTCCCAATCACTTCCTCGGTCGCTCAATGCTCGAGGCAAGAAGAGGAGAGAGAGGGCAGTTCGATGCTTTTGGGCATGCGCAAACTCTATAGTCACAGTCGCACGGCCTACTTATCCAGAGACGTGGTCACCATGACTGCAAAACGCAATTCCGGTCTGGAGTTCTTCAGCGAGACTCTTGCACTGTTGTTATTGCCCAACTGTGTGCAACTCGGAGGATTCTGGTTAGGCACTCGCTGCTGAAATTGGAAGCTTCTTGCGTTTGAAAACCTGTAAATAGTCCAAGGGGCAGTGCACCGCCAACACCTGAGAATACGAGCTGAGGATCAAACAACATCAGATGTCGAGCAAAGCAACACATCGTCCTTTGAGAAACTTTACGAGAGTCGTCACTCTGCAGCCAGCCAATGAAGACAAATTCGGAAGGGAATCGGCTGACCCGCCGCCGTCGAGTTGTACAAGTGCGCCCCTCACGGTGGAGACAAGCATCCGTTGGCCCCAAAGTGCTCCGGCGGCTCCTTTCAAACTCAAGCACATCCTCCTGACCTCTCACCGTCCCGGAGGCCCCAGGAAGCCCTCCGGCACCGGCGGCCTGGGTAACATTGTCCCCGAACTGGCGGTGGAACCTTGCAACCTCAACTCAACACCGAGGCGTGGGACGGCTACCGTTGAACGCCCGACAACTTCTACGAATACTCCGGTCACTTCGAGTAGTTGATCAGGCTCAAAAACGCGGTCGACAAGTGCACCGCTCCAGCGTGCGGAGTAATCTCGCCTCGGCAAGGGTCCTGCGTTGACTGAGGGCTGCATTACAACGGCTTCTTGCTTGCCTCAGAAAGTCGGTGGACAGGAGGCCTGATGCATACAGGGCCACGGTACGCGGTACTGGCTTTGCCCTAGCTTGGTCGCCGAGGCGGGAACTTTGCCTATCTCTACCTCGCACGAGCCTAGTGTGAAGAGTTGCAGGCCAAAGGCTATATGCGGCTTGTGGTTCAGACTTCCCTTCACCTAAAACTGGCCACTCAGATTTGACGCTTTTGTCAAACACCGTCACTTGATCAACAGTCACCTCGACGCCCAGCTCCCACGACCCCGCATAAGGTAGTCTGACTTGCGACAAGACCCCCCGGTGGCTAGGTAGTCGAACCTCGTGGTCACTCGTTCGTGTGTCAGGTCCGGTCGACCACATACCCTTACTTTGCGTTCACTTTTCCTCGCCTATCTTTTTCCTTTCTTCTTCTTCTTCTTCTTCTTGCTGCTTCACCTACTTATATCGTGCTCCATCTCATCCACATCGTTGTAAATCCGCTGCTCGAATTCACCTCATCCCATCCTCTTGAGCCTGGCGGCTGTGCATATTAGTGCCCATGCGTCTCAACGTCTCGTAAGAACAAGAAAAGCCAGCCATGTCCGTCGCTATCACTACCTCGTCGGCCTCAACTCTCCTCCATGAAGAGCCAATTGCCTCCCCCAATGCCTGCGGCGTGGGCCTAGAACTCGATCAGGCCTCCGTGAGCTGCGTCCTCAAGCAGGAAGCCATTTCTGTCACTCTCAATGGCCCCGCCATCTTCACATTGTCTATGACTCTGGCTCTCATCATCCACTTCTTCGAACCTAGGATCGCCGAGACCCTTCTTGTCATCATCCCCATCCTGCTGCTCGTGCGGAACGACTACCACAACTTCCTCGGCCTCGGACCGGGCGGCACACCGGCCACGTTCCAGGGCTACGTTCGAATAGCCTGGCTGCGGCTCTGGGCACTCCGAGACCCCTTTACGGCGCCCGAGGCGAGGCCAAACATCCTCCCGAAGCGAGGCATCCTCCGCCAGGATGGAGACCTCACCCGACTACCATATCGTCCCGGTCCCCGGCCCCAGGTCGCCGGCATCGCGCCGCAGAGGCAGCTGGATCAGCATGGCACGGTGCCGCACTACCACGCCCTCCGCAAGACGTTGCAGAAGCTCGCGGCCGCGAACCCGGGAACATTCGGTACCGCGAGGTCCTGTCTCGAGAAGCACGGCCTGGCACTGTTTGCGCGGCACCCCGTCAACGTTACGTGCAACGGCGAGGTTTGCCACGTCCACGACTCGGACCACAGCTTGCACATGAACCTCCATCCCGAAGACATTCGAGAGGTGCTGGCCAAGGGCTGGGGCCAGCGGCATCCGTTGGCGTGGAAGGGGACGTTGGTGAGGATGCCCGTGCCGGAAGAGTTCGTCATGGTATATGCTCCGCGAGGTACGTTTCTTCACACACACACATGATGATTTTTTGGATTTTGGAAAGAAAACGCTGCCTTGCTCTCCAAGGCGGCGGCGGGTGACGGCTAGATGTCACACAGTTCACTCTTTTTTCTGGTTCCAGCAGAGAGCCAACAACGAAGGCGAACAAGAATTTATACATCGTCGCGGGAAAGGGAGAGGAGGAGAGAAGAAATCAGGTCTGGCCCATACCGTTTTTCACCAATGCTGACTGTATCTTACAGATGACCACGAGTTGAGAATCGTGTGCAAGATCATTGAGGCGGCTATATGGTACGTCGTTTCCGAGCGAACAGACATCCAAGCCGAGAGGGCCGCTTGAGACTCTTCCTCGAGCAGTCTTACGCTACTCGCTTTGAAAGCGCTTATCAAGACACACATACACGCACACACAAACAGTTTACAGCAATAAAAAATCAGGGGTTGTTGATTTTGTCCGTTTGGCAATTGGCATGAAGTTGAAATTTGGCCTGGAGTTGGAGGAGTCTTGATAGAACAGAAACAAGTAGATGAAACAAAAAACAATTTGACTCATTGACATCTTCGTCTTCTTCACGGGCGATAAATGTATCTGTTCAATGATGAGGAGAACCTCGAATACAGGGATTGCAGGTGTGGGAGAGCTATCGAGACAAGGATCCTGAAAATGCCCTCACTCTACATCTCTTACTCCTTCCTTTTTTGTTAGCCAAAATACTGGCAAGTCTAATGCTTCGCTTCTCTCCCCCCTCATCGACGTATGAGCCGTCTCAGTTGATAACCCTCCTTGCATTGCGTTTTGGCCCTTCAAAAAGCAAGGCAAACGCGGTCTGGAGGTCTGAACGAAACGTTTGAAGCTGCCCAAAATTGATATGGTATTCTGCCATTGAAGGCTCTTCTTTCCGCACCATGCGTCCTTGCGGTCTGCAGTAATACAATTCTATATATACAAGCCTTCCAATCCGGAAACCAACCGTCCCAAACAAGATAAGACGAAATCCACAGAGTACCTAGTCGCTATCGCTGACCTGTCCCCTGGACATCTTGAACTTCTCCCTCGGCTTCGCTATACTCGCCTCCACGATCCGCCCGTCAAACGCCCGCCCGTGCATGAGCTGGATACACGCCTGCGCGGCCTGCGTATCCGAGAACTTGACCGCTACCACGCCGTCCGGCTCCTCGTCGTAGAGCACCACGTTGGTAACCCTCCCCAGTTTCCCGCACTCGTCGCGAATGTCCTCCTTGATCTCCACCAGCGCCGCCGGGTCCTCCTCCAGCTCCGCCAGCGTGAACATGTGCCGCAGGATCACCGTCCGGTTGCGCTTCGAGGTGCTTTCTACGGGTGCCGCCGCCACGTCGTCGTCGCTCCAGTCCGCCAGCTTCGCGGCCATCTTCTGCGTCTTGCGGATAATCTTTTGCTTGTCCCCGTTGTTCGTGCTCCGCTGTGGCCGGGCGGCAGCAGCGTCTCCCCCTTTCTTATCCCCCCCTTCCGCGCTATTGGTGTCCTCGTCGTACTTTGTCTTCTTATAACTCGAGTCGGCAGCCTGGACCTTCATCCTGGGCGTTGCCCCCGCCGGACCCGGCTCGAAGCGGAACTCGGTGTCGTCCAGCAGCATAATGGCCATCTCGACGCTCTGCGGCTTGAAGAAGACGACCAGCGCGTCGCCCTTGAAGTTGCCGGCCTCGTCCGTGTACATCTTAATGCGCGGCCGGCCGCTGTCAATCTCCTCGGCAATCACGCCGGCTTTTCGGGAGAAGAGGTCGTGGACCTCGTCCACAGTCGCATCGGCGGGTAGACCCGTGACGTAGACGGCTGTGTTCTGGCGCGGCGGCGGCGGTGCGCGCGCTGGCTTCGCCTTCTTTGCTGGCCGCGCCCTGCCGTTGCCGTTGTCGTTACCGCCATTACCGTCACCGCCGCTCTGTTGTCTGTCCGCGCCGCCGCTGCTGCTGCCGTTGCCGCCCGCATCTCCTGACGTGGGCGAGTCCTTCCGTTTCCTTGGGTTATTGCTGCCTCCATTGCTGTAACTCGGGCCGGCGCCGGCTCTCGACAGGTCTGCCAGTTGCGCCGCGGTCTCGTCTTCGTCGTCGAGTGGTTCTATGGGTTCGTCCGCGGCCTCGGCCCACGTGGATGTCGCCGGGTCGAACTCGAGCTCGGTGCCGTCGTCAAGGACGGCCAGGTACTTGTTGTCGAGCTTGGAGAAGGAGATGCGCTCGTCACTGCCAAAGTCCTCGACGAACGTCGGTAGAGGGTCCTTCAACTGATCCGCCATCGTGCGAAGGATTGCTGAGGGCTTCAGGGCAAGAATCCCTCGAGGTAAAAACTTTTGAACGCTCTGAAGGTCTGGTGTGATGTTCAAAGTGTCTGAATTTGGAATGCACCTTTTGGCTTGAATCTAGGCACGAATTCCGATCGCATTCTCCAGTGACGTTAGTGGGCCAACGGTGCAGGGACTGGGGTCAACGTGGGGTCCTGTCGTCCCTCAACCTTGGGTACGTACCCAACAACACGATTTTCCAGGTTCCATGTTCTCCCATACGTCGGGAGTAGGTGTAATCGGAATGAATTACCTGCTAAATAACAAATATTTTATACGGATAAATGTACTTATGGAAAATGCTCTCGATACTGGAAGCGAGGTAAAATCAGCATTTGGCGGCTTCGAACAGACATGTCGAATGTGCTGTCTGTCTTTGTAGAACCTCATTTGTGTTAATCAATTGCTGGGGCGTGTGTCGACTTCCTTACCTTCAATATGTCCGACGCATACAATGCCTAGTCCCAAGGCACCTACAATGTGTTGCTATGTTCAGTTTCTCCTGGGACTTCTCGCACTCAATCTGCAGACAGGTCCGAGGGTCTTCACCAGATACATCATCATCATCATCGCAAGATGCCAGACGAGGGTCTGAATATCAGGCAGTCTATTGTTTCGATTTCTATCATCTCAACATCCAAGCCACATCTAACCCTGCTTCTTCTCCTTGACGGCTGATTTGACGCCCTCGACAAAGGCCTCTACCGCTTCGCCACCGCCCAGGGGCATAGCACCACCCCTCATATAACCGCCATTGGGCACCTTAACGCTAAGAGCCTCCGCAATTGTGGGAAGACCGCCATCACGCAGCGCCATGGTCAAGCTTCCAAGTGCCTGATGGAACTGGGGACTTCTGAGCACTCTCTCCAGCAGGCTCTTCTTCTCTGCGAGGCTCAACGTGGCTGTGGCAGCAGCAGCAGCGTCTGCCGTGGGCTCAGAGTCACCCAGGTCATCCGCCTCCGTGGCAAGCACGACGATTGCGGGTGGCAGAAAGCTCAAAAGGCTGTCGATAAACTCCTCCGATGCCGATCGAAGCATTGGAATGGTGATCTCGTTCGGAAGAAGATGGCTTAGGTACGGGAAAGGCTTGTCTGCGTGTTGCTGCTGCCCGCTTTGCTGTGATCCACTCAAGTTGGCGTTGCCTTGTAATGATGCCAGGAAGTTCCGAACGGCAGCATCCGCGACAGTGTTGGAGCCACCAGCAGCACTATGAAGCGATTAGCACATGAGCATATAATGGAAGAGTCAAGCCATGGGCACTGCGCTGAAAAGCCGAAACTCCGAACCCTCTTGTCTTTTGAAAGGCTCTAAAAGTACAGGTGACGCCATAAGACGGGCCGTCTTTTTCCTCGCCAGTGCCCATGTAGCCCGTGTAACTCTAACGACCCTAGGCTCCAACCGCCAGAGCCATGCATGAGGAAGTAACCTACGCTCGTGCTCCATCACCTCCACCTTCTCTGGCATTCTCGCCTTCTTCTCTGATATCGCCTCCTGTAGCGCCAGCACCAGCACCACCGCTGCCTCCCTGGGACTGTTCGTGCCGGTCACCCTGACCCTCAGCATCCTCCATCGTTTCGTCATCGTCATCGTCCCGCCTGTCGTCGGTGTTGCGAACTTGCGCCAGCTCGCGGCTCACGTTGACCTCCTCGCCCTGGAGAAGCGCATTGACGATTTCACCAATCTTCTTGTCGCGCGGGCTGAACCAGCTGGGGTCTCCGTTGCGCGACTGAGGCTTGGACTGGAGCCAGAAGAAGTGTCTCTGGGAGGAAGAACCGAATTTGAGGACAAAGACGCGACCGTTTGTCTTTGCTGAGGGTTGATCGGCTGCAGCGTGAGCGACGAATTCACCGTCCATGGGCACCATGACGAGGTCGAGATCGGGGTTCTCCATGGTGGCGGTGCGCTCTCGCCAGCAGAAGTGAATCAAGTCTGTGACTTATTAGGCATCTGCAAGAGATATCGGTAGCGAATATACGAACCATCTTCGGAGTAGAGGTAGATGTAGCCAGGTGTCGCCTGCGGCTTGATCTTGTAAGGCTTGCTGGAGGTCTATGATAGATGTCAGCGAACCAGGGTCTGGCAATGATTGTGGAACTGCACTACTGACGTCTGCCTCGCAGATACCAGCCTTAAAGGTGATTATCGGCAGAATCGACGACGACATGGTGTGTCTTCGATTTGGATTTGGGTGATGAGGAACAGCGGGTTGTTGTCGTGAAGTCCGGTTTTGGTAGTCGTTTGTATGGTGATTTGGAGAAGGGCGATTGGCGTAAGGTCGAGCTTGTCTCGTTTGGAGCTATCGGCCGCAATTGCGTAGGAGCTCCCTGCCTACCGCCTGAGGTGGGTTGGCGGCGTCGGATCCATCAGGTACCTCATCCCACCCGTCGTTGGATCCACCGCAGGGGGCTCTGCTCTCCCGGCCCGTCCTTACTCCGAAGAGGGGTCTGGCGCTGGGCAACCAAGATGGTGGGGTCCGTGCCGCTCAGAACCTGAGTGAAGAGCACCGCAATCTCAAAATTTTCGACCTGGTCCTTTCCAACCCCACCTTCACTTACTTATTTCTACCTGAACCTCAACACATCCTCCTTCTTCTGCTTCTTCCACAGATACCCCTTTCCCTTCCCTCTACACACTCTTCAAAACGCAAAAATGGGCTTCGCCGACCTTCTCACTGATGCTGGTGCTGCCAGTAAGTTTCTGCAGCGATGATTCTTCTTTCTTTCACGGGCTGACAATCGTGTCAGTGCTGAACAGCTGGCTCACCACCCGCTCCTACATCGTCGGGTAAGTTTGCAACCCCCCCTATTCACCGTTCCCGAATTATCCTCTCTCGACTCCCTTTTGGCATTACATGATGAGGAAAATTGGTCCGTGTTTCGGAGGCAGCCTCAAGACCTGCTATTTGACGACAAAACCAGCACTTCGTGCAACTCTGACCCCCGCCTTACCCATTCACTTTTATCTCGCAAAAGCAAACTTGGGCAAGACATTGCCGCTAACAATCGGCACAGCTCCACCCCTTCCCAGGCCGACGTTGCCACCTTCAAGGCTCTTCAGTCCGCTCCTGATGCCGAGAAGTACCCCCACGCCGCCAGATGGTACAAGCACATCGCCTCTTACGAGAGCGACTTCGCCACCCTCCCCGGTGATGCCTCCAAGTCCTACTCCGTCTACGGCCCTGAGGCCACTGAGCTCCCCGTGAACCCCGCCAAGGCCCCCGCCGCCGAGGAGGACGAGGATGACGTCGACCTGTTCGGCTCTGACGACGAGGAGGAGGACGCTGAGGCTGCCCGCATCCGTGAGGAGCGCCTTGCTGAGTACAAGAAGAAGAAGGACAACAAGCCCAAGCTCGCTGCCAAGTCTGTCGTCACTATGGATGTCAAGCCTTGGGGTAAGGATTTCTCCTTGAACTGCAAATCAAGGATATGGCGCTGACTCAATTGCAGATGACGAGACTGACATGGCTGCCCTCGAGGCTGGTGTCCGTGCCATCGAGCACGACGGTCTTGTTTGGGGTGCCTCCAAGCTTGTTCCCGTCGGTTTCGGTATCAAGAAGCTCCAGATCAACCTCGTTGTCGAGGATGAGAAGATCAGCTTGTCTGATCTCGAGGAGGAGATTGCCGAGCTTGAGGACTACGTCCAGTCTGTGGACATTGCTGCTATGCAGAAGCTGTAAGGGGCTTTATGATGAACGGGAGGGATGATTTCACGAGGCATGATGGTGGAGACATGAAAAAAAATCCATAGAATCCTCACAAGAAAGGTTATGGCTCAGGAAACGCAACAGTTTCTGGCACCAACAAAGGCAGCGTCCTTTGTCGCACAAAGAGTGCGGGCTCAAGGCCTTTTATGAATACAAATGAGGTTATGAAAACCTTTTGAAGAAGATAATACCTCTGTTCCAATCCCTAGTTTCTCTGTGTCTCGATTCCTTGATCCTGATTGAGGGGTCGAATTGGCACCTCTCGACCTTGATGACTCTTTGCTCTCGCCCAGTCAAAATCTTACAAAGGTGAATTGTGTATCAAAGTGGGGCGGCGCTAAGTGAGGGGCAATTCTTCGCTTCCATCGAGGGCCCTCCCGGGAGGGTAAGCAAGCCAATGCAACGCGACTCGAGTAGCTTGTGAACCGTGCCTGCGTACCCGCCAGCTTCAAACTTACAACGCGAACGTCGACACGAGACGCGCCAGCCGCAGCAACACAACCAGCTCACATTCGCTTGCCCAGGCTGAAGTACTTTTTGTCAATATGTACGGCGATTTGGGCAACAAGTTGGTACGACCAGGCCCGAAGACAGCCTTTCGTCACGTAGTTGCAAAGAGCTAACGCGTTTGCCAGGTGCAACATGCTAAACGAACCCAAAACCTTTCGCATTTGCCAGCGTACCAAGCCGAGATAGTACGCGCCGTTACGCGCGAAGTACGAGACCTAGAAAAAGATGTGACGGAGGTTCTTGAACCTTTCCAGGGCTCTTTCGACCCAGCCGCCAACCAAGCGACAGCCTGCACAGTCCTTGTCAATTATCTCTCCATGCGAAGGAATAAGCGATGCGTTCTTGCATACCACCGAACTCGGACAGATAAATTGGAGGAGCTAGCATGGAAGGGAGTCGATGTGCTTGACCTGGCCGGGCAACAAGTACGAGGCAATGCGGGATCATCAACGGGGGGCCCTAATGGCAATGCCGACGGTCCTACGAGCAGCCTTAGCCCGCAAGAGGAGGAGTATGTGAGGCAGTACGGCGATCTGTTGGCTGCCTACAAAGGGCAATGGACGGACATCGACTTGACGGGCAGCTTGGAGCCACCGCGAGACCTCTTCATTGACGTGAGAGTCTTGAAGGATGCAGGAGAGATCCAGACCGAATACGGGTGAGTTCGAACCTCTTGAACCGCAGATAAGGATTGCGTCTGACGCCGGGGATCCAGCGCCATCAACTTGACCAAGAACAGTCAATTCTATGTCAGACAGGGCGACGTGGAGCGGCTCATAGCACAGGGTTATCTCCAGAAACTCAGCTGATGCTCATGAACGACCTCGACCTGGCTGGTTGACCTCGGAGTCTCAAGATAACGATATTAAGAGGAATGTGTCTTCATTTCTACCATTCTTGGAGATCTGTGGAGCTCAAGTGGTACGGAAGTACGGCTGCCTTGACCAGACCCTTGCACGGATGATAAGATTCGAAATTCTCGTCAAAAGCAAGGCGGGGCACCATTGCCGGCAAAATGACCTGGTGCGATGCGTCAAGATGATGCGAGCATCTCGACATGTGAGCAATATTCTGCTGGCACTTCGCGGGGTACGCGGGGTGCACACATGCAGTTTTAAGGGGCTGTGAGCGATCGGGCTCGCGAGAAGAGACCAAGCGGTGCAGGCGACTTCTTTCCATGGATCAAAGTAACGTTATTGCCAACATGAAGCCTGGTCCTGAGCAACATGGGGGCCAAGATCTGCATCATCGCGGACGGCTTCCGATGCGGCCGACTCGGGGCCAAATCTAGTGGCTCGCATAGCAACAACACAATGAGGCCCGCAAAAAGGGTCTGATGAAGGTTCAAGTAACGGAATCCGGGGCCAAGATGGCATGCGGCATATCTAGGGTTGCTGGGCTGACTGAGTCTGTAACGGGCTCCTTGCTTTTGGGCTGTCAGCGATGAGGGGAGAATTGGGGAATATGTCTCGCATGTGGCAGGCAAACGTGCACCTCAACTTCTTGGGCCACCTCGATAATAAGCCAGTGTGCGGCAGCTTGGACCAGTTGTGGTGGCGCGCGGGGAATGAACATCGGATGTCGCGATATCGGCGGCGGATGAGAAGAACGAAAAGCGATAACGACATTGGAAGATCGGGCTGCATTGAAACCTCAGACATGTCTACGACCTTGGACATCTCTTGAAGCGAATTCGAAGCAGGGCCGTCATCTAACGAGCCGGAGCCGCAATAAGAGTAGCCAGTCGGTTGTGGACAAAACAGCTCAGTTGCACAGCACAGGCATGGCCTTGTGCGCTGCATTGCATCATGCGCCGCATCATAGTCGCTGTTGGTCGACTGTCGACCTGTAGTCCCGGACATGAGGTAGCTAGGTACACCCACAGTATACCTCAGCAACTGGGCAAGGGAGGGCCGATGTAGGCCGAAGTAGGAGACGGCCAAAGGTGTTAGTCTGCTGATTGTGACCTTAGCTTATTAGTACATCTTGCAGCGTTGCAGAACATGTCGAGCCATTGAAGGGAGACGATGACGAGCAATTGACGCCAAATTCTCCAATTGACACGCCGTATTACCCCACGCGAGACTTGTGAAGGAAGCAGAGTTTGAAGATGCATTGCATTGGCTCTTTCAGACGTGAGCTTTGGCTAGGATATGGTCACTCATGAATCTTGTTACACCAGACGGAGACACCCGCTCGACGGTGCGGGCGTTTGGCCTTCGTTCCCCTCCGTATGCTGCCTGCGGCCCACGGCCCACTGGATAGCCCCCGGTCCAGAGCCTGATGCTTGGATTGTTGTTGGGAAGTCATGGAGAGCGGAGGGTAGGTACGGATATACAGGCACAGGTAGGTACCGCACCACGATCCACGATGGAGGGAGAAAGAAGTGAGGGTGTGCAGAGTGTGGCCCCGGCCGCCGAAGCCCAGAGGAAGGGGGGGAAAAATCCTTGGATCCGAAGTGGGGGAGCCGACTTTGGAGAGGGTGGGCTACCCAGTTGGTCTGCCGTGCTTCCAGTCCAACCATTCATTGTGCCGGACGGAATACTTTCTGAGGTACAGAGCACTCGGTACCCATTTCGCCATTTATTCGCCTTGCAGCGGCTGTAAGTGGCTCACTGGAGGGGTCGCCGTGCTGTAGGTGCAGGGATTGTTCGCGGGCGTTACGTAGTGCAACTGGAGAGTCGAGCGCCATCGGCACCCATCCGCGGGCAGTCAGCGAAATGGATGCCCACAATACACACTGCGAAGGTCTTCATGGTTCATGAACATATATGATACAGGGTGCGGTGGTTACGGCAACCCGAACTGCGATGGGCTACGGAATGCCCGCACCAAGATACCACGAGGATTTGCGCTGGCTAGCCGTAAAGAGAGGGACAAGCATCTCAGTAACAGCCTAGCCGGTAGGTACCTCAAGTGAAGTACCTCCTGAGGTAAGGTAGGTACAGAGGCAACTTGGCAAGCTTGAGCGAGTTGGGCGACTTGGACCCAGCACTTGCGTGCCTCCCATGCAGTAAAAGTGGTAGCATGCCGTAGGAGGCACGCTACTGAGGGGCGAGGGGCCACATGCAAAATGCAAATTTGACTTGGATCAAGGTTTGTCGTTCGTCTAATTCTGCGTGCTACCTGCTGCGTGCTGCGTCGTTCTGCATGCTGTTGCGTTGCGCGCGCCATGCCTTGCCATGTTGACGACAACCTCTTGAACCTCGTCCAATTCTTTGGTACACTTCCACTACTTCCCTCACGTCTTACCCTCAACTTACCTCTCAGGTGGCTCTCACGCTCTCCACGGTCTCCACGCTTTCCATCTCCGTCCCGTCTGCTCTAAACCAGCCCGTCCACCCACTTGGTTGTTCCTGTTTCCAGCCTGTTTCCAGGTTCGTGCTCTTCTTCCATCTTTCTCCATCCAACCCTTCTTTGGCTTTGTTAGCCTTTGGAGCCTTTCCGCTCACGACCCAGAAACCAGGACGACTTACACGGGCCATCCTGGCTCTTCCCGTAGATCTGGCCCCGTCTGTCTGCTATCTCCTACGGAGTGCTACACTTTCCCATCTCTTATCTGCGCCGAAACCCACCACACATTTCTCTCTCGCGCGCGCACACCCCAGCTCAGCTTCTCATGTTTTCCACGACGTAAAACCTGCAAGAACAGCCGCACCACCGGCCTGGCATCCTGACAATTGGCGCCTTTAAGAGGTGCAACGGTGACCCTCGGCGCCCAAACACCAACTGTTCGCATACTCAGTCACCCAGCTAGCTAGCTACCTTGGCCATGTCTTCTCCCAACTTTGCCGGTTTCTCTCCATGGAGGAGACGAGCCGCTTCCTTGAGCTCCCAGAGATCTCAGAGAAACAGTGCAGAGATTAACCCGGAAAATTCGCTCCTCAGTCCCGGCCGGAACTCGCAGAATGCTCCCGATTCGAGAACTTTACTATCCTCTTCCGTGAGCTCGAGTCACCGAGAGCCGATCCGTTCCTTCATTCACGGCAACGTGAGAGACCACCTAGGCAAGCATCCCGTTGTCGGCGCATACGTCATACAGGACACGCAACCAGCTAACATGCTATCCGTAGCCCCCGTCGACAGCGCCCAGTTCGCCCGCAGCGTGCGCGAAGATACGGCTGAACTCGCCTCGTATCTGCTGTCCGACAAGAAGACGGGTCAGAGCCCGGCTTTCCTGTCGCGCCAACGCGCCCAGTCGTCAGCTCTCGCACGAGAAACTGCTATTTCGGACAACGAGGAGGAGGACGATGACGAACTTACGCATGCAACTAGCTCCGAGACGATACAAGAGGTATCGGAGCCTCCGTCGCCGGATGGAAACGAGGATGAAATACCAGAGGACGGCCCCTCAATCTTGACGAACTTACTCAAGAAGTCACCTCCTCAGTCGCACCGAGACCCGTCACCAGAACCCCATTCCGAGCCATTGGAACCATCGAGCCCCGAACCGAAGCGAGCGCTCTCTGCGGAGAGGCAGGAACGAGAGGAGCAGCAACCGGCGAGGGTCGTTGTCAGACAGCCTACTGAGCGTACTCCCCTGATTCCCAGGTTATCGTCTGATAGTCTCGAGAGCTACAACACGAGCGGAGCTTGCACCGAAGTCGACGTGGAAGGGCAGAAACAGCGACCTAAGAAGCGGTGGTTAGGAGGTCTGAAGGACCTCACCGTGAACGTCGAAGAGCGCATCGTTCATGGTTACCAGATTGCGACGAGTCCCAAAGCATGGGACCGCCAAGCGTTATGGCAAAATGCCGTGGTGGCTCCGGTATCTTGCTTGCCGGCTGTCATTGTTGGATTGCTGCTCAATGTTCTCGATGCGTTATCTTACGGTATGCCCCTCTCTATTTAAAAAAGAAATCGGTACACAAATCCACGGCATTTATTCTAACTGGACTGACTAGGCATGATTCTCTTCCCCCTCGGCAAGCCCATCTTTGCCGGGCTGGGCTCAGCGGGCATATCCATTTTCTATGTTAGCACCATTGTTTCTCAATTGACCTTCTCAACTGGTAGTATTTTCAAGGGAGGCGTCGGCTCCGAATTGGTGAGTTCTTCCAGATCATGCAATAGGGCCCTCGCTCACTCTCCCGCAGATCGAGGTCGTACCCTTTTTCCATAATATGGCCCAAACAATTACGGACCATATTGGCGAGGATCAACCAGACGCTGTAATCGCAACGACGATTGTCACGTATGCTATCAGTTCTATGATGACTGGCGCGGTGTTCTATCTCATGGGCAAGTTCAACTTCGGCTACATGGTTGGCTTCATCCCCAGGCATATCTTGATCGGCTGCATTGGAGGTGTCGGCTGGTTCCTAGTTGCCACGGGATTCGAAGTTTCTGCCCGAATGGATGGCAGTCTGGAATACGACATGGACACCCTCCACAAACTCTTCCAGTCCGACACAGTACTTCTCTGGCTGATCCCCCTCTTGTTGGCCATTGTTCTTTTCTACAGTCAGACAAGAGGTGCTTCCAAGTACTTCTTGCCGCTGTACATCATCACCATCCCGATTGTCTTTTATTTCTTTGTGTTCTCTCTGGATGCGCTAGAGCCCGATACTCTCCGAGATCATGGCTGGATTTTTGAAGGACCGCCGGCCGATGAGCCTTGGTGGTACTTCTATACGTTGTACAGTAAGCGAACTATGCCTCACGTATCCAGCTATTGCTAACGTATAAATCTAGAATTCAACCTAGTCGAGTGGGATGCCGTCTTGGAGTGCATTCCAGCCATGCTGGCACTCACCTTTTTCGGCATCCTCCACGTTCCCATCAATGTTCCGGCCCTGGCCCTGCAGAC